AGATAAAAACTCAATCATCTCAATAGATACAGAACAAGCCTTTGATAAGATTCAACATTTCATGATAAAATCTCTGAGGAAACTAGGAATAGAGGGAATGTACCTCAACATTATAAAGGCTGTATATGACAAACCTATAACCAATATCATACTTAATTGGGAAAAACTGACACCATTCTCCCTAAATTCAAGAACAAGATAAAGGTGACCACTCTCCCACTCCTAGTAGACATAGTCCTAGAATTCCTAGCCAGAGCAAAAAGGCAAGAAGAAGAAATAAAAGGAATACAAATATGTATAAGAATAGTCAAACTGTTGCTATTTGCAGATGACATAATCCTATACCTCAAAAACCCAAAAAAACTCCACCCCAAAACTCTTAGACACCACAAACAGCTTCAGCAAAGTAGCAGGATACAAAATCAACTTACAAAGATCAGTAGCCATTCTGTACACCAACAATGAGCAGATTTAGAAAGAATATAGGAAAATAATTCCATTTACAATACCCCCCCAAAAAAATAAAATCCATGGGAATAAACTTAACAAAGGATGTAAATGACCTCTATGGGGATAACTGCAAACCACTGAAGAAAGGGATCAAGGAAGAGTACAGAACTTGGAAAGATCTCCCATGCTAATGGATTGACAGAATCAACATAGTAAAAATGGCTATACTACCAAAATCAATCTACATGTTCAATGCAATTCCCAACAAAATCCTAATTCATCACAGAGATTGAAAAATCTACCTTCAAATTCATTTGGAAACACAAAAGAGAGCAAATAGCCAAGGTAATACTGACCAAAAAGAGCAGTGCTGGAGGTATCACAATACCTGACTTCAAACTATATGACAGAGCCATAACAATAAAAACAACATGGTACTGGCACAAAAACAGAAATTAAGACTAGTGAAACAGAATAGAGAACCTGGATATGAATCCACACAGCTATGCTCACCTAATTTTCAACAAAGGTGCTAAAAACATGTGATGGAGAAAAGACAGCCTCTTAAAAAAATGTTGGTGGGAAAACTGTATTTTTGTATGCAGAAAACTGAAGCTAGATCGATGCCTGCCACCTTGTACTAATATCAACTCAAAGTGGATTAAGGACCTTAATATTAGACCTGAAACCTTGAAGCTAGTACAGGAAAGAGCAGGGAATATACTTGAATTAATAGGAATAGGCAAGGACTTTCTGATAGAACTCAGCAACTAAGAGAGAGGATTGACAAATGGGATCACATGAAATTAAAAAGCTGCAGCACAACAAAAGAAATGGTCTCTAAATTGAAGAGGCCACCCACAGAATGGGAGAAAAATATTTGCTAGCTATACATCAGACAAGAGACTGATAAGCAGAATATAAAGGGAGCTCAAAAAACTAAACTCACAAAAAAACAATTACCCAATAAAGAGATGGGAAACTGAACAGCACCAAACTTTTTCAAAGTAAGAAGTCCAAATGACTAAAACACACATAAAAAAAATGCTCACCATCCCTGGCCATAAAGGAAATGCAAATCAAAACCACACTAAGATTTCACCTCACTCCTATTAGAACAGCTACCATCAAGTACACCAACAACAACAAATGTTGCCAAAGACGCAGGGAAAAACAACCCTCATACACTGCTGGTGGGAATGTGAGCTAGTACAACTATTATGAAAAACAATATGAAGCCTTCTTTAAAAACTAAAAATTGAAAAAAAAAAACAACTAAAAATTGATCTGCCATATGACCCAGCAATTCCACTCCTAAGGGTATTCCTGAAGCAATGTGAGTCACGTTATTACAAAGGCACCTGCACACCCATGTTTATTGCAGCACTATTCACAATAGCCAAGTTATGGAAACAGCCAAGATGCCCACTACTGATAAATGAATCAAGAGAATGTGGTATTTATACACAATTTTATTCAGCCACAAAGAATGCAATTTTGTCATTCACAGGTAAATGGATGCCACCGGAGAACATCATTTTAAGTGAAATTAGTCAGGCTCAGAAAGTCAAAAATATCGTGTTTTCCTCACATGTGGATTATAGACCTAAAACAAATGCAGTAATATTATTGGACATGGGTCATACACTAAGGGGAAGCCGTGCTTGGGAGGGATGGGGAAAGGGAAGAAAACCAAAAATTTGAATGTTATTGATATGCTCACTGTACAGAAGCAAATATTGTAATCCTGAACTGGCTGAGGCCACTATGGGAAAGGGACTAGGGAGAGATGAACCAATTTGGGTTGTAATACACATGTACATGGAAACAACATAAGGACTCTCCCTATATAGCTATCTTTATCTCAAACTAACAAAACTGCATGTTTTTCTTACTACCTTTTCTGTCTTTTATGGTTTTTCTTCTATAAAATTGGAGGGAAAAAAGGGGAGAACAGGTTCTGCCTGGAGGTGGGGGGAGTCCAAAATGATACTTGTGACTGTTCCGGGAATTGGGGGAGAGGGGATGAAAGAGAGCAGTGGAGGCGGATAATTTAAATATGACATATTTGATACATTGTAAGAACTTTTGCAGATACTCCAATATACCCCCACCCAACAAAAAAATAACTAAAATAAAATAAAATGGAAAAGTTGGGCTTGAAACCCCAACATTCTGCTCTAGAAATTGAATTCTTCATGACTCTACATATTAAAAAAATGTAAATATATACATACCTGTGCGTTTAGAGATGGAGGGTCTTATGAACTATTTGCCTCTGAACTTGCCTTGAACTGTGACCCTCCCGATCTCAGCCTGCCAAGTAGCTAGGATTATGGGCGTGAGCCACCAGTGCCCAGCTCACTTCATTTTCTAAAATGTTTTGGCTAATTTCAGGGGAATGTTTTTTAAGATTTTTTTACCAGTTTATAAATTGTATTTTATCATAGCATCCATTTGAACTTTAGATGCTTCCCTTAAGTTTTTTAAGTTTTGGATTTTTTAAATTCATTGTTGATGGGCATCCTGTCCTTTTCCTATAAAGATTATGAGGAGATTCTCAAATACTTCTCATGTTTCTTATAATTCTTCCTTACAATTGGAAGATATTTATTTGTTTCCTTGGATAACTCAGTTATTTTGAACTACCCAAGTTTTAGTGTTTTTGTAAATAATAGCTATAGAAGGGTAGGGAAAGAGAACCTATATATGTTCACAATTATAAGTTGGGAGGATTCTAGTAAAGATTAGTAGATTGCTCTCAAAATTATTATGGACTTATTAAAATGTGAAAGGAAGTACTTGCACTTCCATTGTTGTTTTTGTCCCTATAGTTGGTTAGAGGTTAAAAAGCTATATTTGGAAGAGATATGATTTGAAGTTTAACTGTAAAATAGCTACTCTTTTTCCCTTTTTCGTATGGCAGTAGTCATTCTATTCTGTTTTAGCTCCAATGCAGCTATCCTCTTTTTACTAGTCAGTAGCAGAAATGTCTCCAGTTTGCTTTGCAGAAATGTAAGTGAATATTGAACCTTGCAGTAGAGATAGAGCCCCATCCTGTGGGGTGACCAGTGCCTTATCAACTTCCCAGGATTATGCAGCCCTTCTGTTTGTCCCCATACCCCACCTGCCATGTGTTTAAGCCCCTCTGCTTGAAGGTAGGCATAGCTCCATGAGTCCACTGTGGCTTTTCCTTTGTATTTTTAACTTGGTGAATAAATTATTTGTAGTGTCTCCTTTATCCCATTTCCTCTTGGTAGCCCCAACTCTCATTTCTGTCTCTGTTTATATCAGTAGAGTTGAAATTCCATAAATATTTGTTATATGAATGGATCATTGCCTGGTTTCCTGTGCACCTAAGAGCCATCACTTTTAGATATTTACATGTTTCATTGGGGATTTTAAAGGAGTAGGGAATTAAATAAATGGATTTCTGCTAGCATCCTTAGTGAGAAGTTACCAACTATTTGTCTTGAAATTATTATATTAAATAAATAAATATTAAATAACATGCATAGATGGGAAGTGAGAATCTGACCTTGGAAGAAAAGATGAATATTCATCTGCTCCATGAAGCCTTTCCAATAATTATATCTCTCTACATTCCTATGGACCTCATTAGCTGTTTGTATACTTGGAATGTGCCTATGTGAATGTATGTGTGTGCAGTGTGTGTGTGTGTGTGTGTGTGTGTGTGTGTGTGTGTGTGTAACCCATAGCTAGATTATAATCATCATGAGAAGTCGGACTATTTCCTTTTATAATTTCCCATCATTTCATGCACAATACTCCTTACCAGTATTTATTTGATATTTGTTGGTTTGGTTTGTATTTTTACATTTTATTAATAACATTTATCATTATGAGGGTGCTTCCAAGTGGAGAAGATCCTCAAAATATCCAGAATAAATTTCTCTTGCAGTTTTGTAAATTCAAATATTATGCAGTTTTCTTATTTGCTTGGGCATCAGTTGTTGCTGTCATTATGCATTGAATTAAAAAATTTTGCACTAGAGGAGCTAATACAGAAACCTTAAAGAGACAGAGGTCAATATGGGAAGGTGATCAGGAACTAGTGAAAAGATAAGGTAGAGATGAATCAATTTGGGTTGTAACACACTTGTGCATGGAAGCAATGCTAGGAATCTCTCTATATAGCTATCCTTATTTCAACTAGCAAAAACACTGTGTCTTTCTTATTATTGCTTATGTCTACTCTTGAACAAAATTGGAGACAAGGGCAGAACAGGTTCTGCCAGGAAATGAGGGGAGTTGGGGGGAGAGGGAGGAGACAGGGAGCAGAGGGGAGAAATGGCCCAAACAATGTATGCAGATATGAATAAATGAATAAAAAATCATTTCTTGTCCCAAAAAAATAAAATAAAAAACTTTGCACTTTGATCAATAATTATATTTCCTTACTTAAAAATTAGGTCTCAAAATTATACAGTCTCATTGTATGAATACATTAACAACTGAATAGAAAAGTCCCCATTGCTTAACAGGCTGTATAAACAGAATTCTGAAATAATTTGCTTCTCTTTTTACAGGCCTTACACTTATCAAATGTTTCTCAAAAAAGATTTTCCACTGGAGAAATCATTAACTTGATGTCAACAGATGCCCAACAGCTCATGGACTTGACTGCAAACCTCAATCTCCTCTGGTCAGCCCCTTTCCAAATCCTGATGGCCATCTCACTTCTTTGGCAAGAGCTGGGTGCAGCAGTGTTAGCAGGGGTGGCAGTGCTTGTGTTGGTTATACCAATAAATGCTTTAGTTGCAATGAGAGTGAAAAGACTCAAGGTAAGAAAATCACTGGTTCATGTTGCATGTACCTAAGAGAAGCCAAGTTTTCTGACTTCAGCTGACAATACCATCTTGTTAATTCTATACAGATGGAAAATAGATGTATTGTATAGATTGTGTAGATGGAAACCATTCAAATATGTCATTCACTCATTCATTTAACCAATATTGATTAGGCATCTTTCTTGTCCTAGTCACTGCTCTGAGCCCACCAGAGACAGCAGTGAGAACTGACAAGTTCTTGCCCTCATGAGGGTAGTGGGGCAGACAACCATCAAGCAAGTGAATAAATGAATAGAATGCATAATGCCTCACACTAGTTTGTATATATAAAAAAGCAAGTAAGGATAAGGTGATAGAGGAGCAGAGGGTGATCCTTTATATGCTGAGGCAGGAAAATCCTCAGTAATCCATGTGGATGTCTGAGGCAAAGATAAATGAAGCAATGAGAACAATGTACACAACCTGCAGGCTGGAGTATGCTTAGTTGTCTGAAGAATGGAAAGAGTCCATGTGCTAGAATGAGCAAGGAGCGAATAGACAGTGAATTCTTCTCAGAACTCATTTTGACATTCTTCTCTGACATTCAGTCAATTACTCATCATACTATCAATATATGTTTTGATATCCCACCATGTGTCAGACAGTGAGTACTACAAGAATGAACACATGGGATAGCCCAGCACACTGAAGGAAGTCACATTGCCATGAGAGAGACAGATGACTTCATGTGTTAACTAAACAGATACAGATATAGATGCAGATGTATTGCTTATGAAAACATATTTTATTAATGTAAATGGATCAGCGATTCATAATATCAATGTACTGCATGGACATGTGTCAGTCATAAAGGAAAAAGCAAATTAAGGAAATACATATGCATGTATATATGTATGTGGTATGACCCACTTTATTTGAAGTGAATATGTTTCAAAATCCCCAGTGTATGTGTGAAACCTCAGCAATACCAAACCCTATATACAATGTTTTTTTTCAAATACAGTACATAAATATCTATGATAAAATGTAATTTATAAATTAGGCACAGTAAGAGATTAACAACAACTATAATAAAATGGAATAATTATTACTATATATTGTAATAAAATTGCCAGCATCACTATTGGAGCCATTGTTATGTAAAATAAGGGATGCATAAGCACAAGCACTGCTGTGTTGTGGCAGTCAGTCTGAGAAGCAAGATAGGTATTAAGTGATTAGCAGGTATATAGCATCCACATGTGTAGGCTAGACCAAGGGGTGACTGACATCCCAGGAAGGATGAGTGGATTGATTATGCTACTCAGAACATCCCACAATTTAAGATTTATGATATGTTTATTTCTGGAATTTTCCCTTAATATTTTCAGACCACTCTTGACTATAGGTAACTAAAACCATGGAGAGTGAAGCCATGAATAAGGGGAGGGGATAGCTCATATAAGAAAATACATATTTCAATTACTCAGATTTCCCAAAACTATTAAAACTGATAAAAATTTTTAAAGTTTCTTTTATTCCTGTGACACTTCTGAGATATATATATATATATATATATAAGATTGTATATTATATATATATATATATAAAATTGTATGTTATATATATAAGATTTTATATGTATATTCACATATATGTATATACATATATATATATATGAGATTTGGAAATGTGGAATGTTATTTTATTATTTAATATTAACCAAATCACATTAAGTAAATATATATTTTCTACAGTTGTTATTCTGCTTTGAGTGTCTATGTGGGTGCATACATTGTATCTACATATGTACTATCAATACAGCCTTTAAAATATGAATGCATTTGTGCACATGTGTATGATGGAGACAGGTAAAGGAAGATATAGAACTGTCAATTTATTTTTATGAGTGTGAATATACAGTATCCATCTTTTGTTACCTATGAAGTTGAATTAGATGGGTAGAAAGGAGATACTGATTTATTAATTCATTATATTTAAGTGATTAAAATTTAAATTTTCATATTTATTTAATGTTTTAAAAGAAAAGCTGACTAATCATAAAGGTGATCATGTAATTATGAAGCAAAGTATTAAAAATGCTAGTGTTTAGAATAATAGGTTTGTTTATAATAATAAATTAATTTTAAACTATTATGATTTTAAAGAATGCTACTTAAAGCCGAGCTATTAGAAATAGAAACACCCTGTATAGCTATCATAAAAAAACAAAATATCAATTTTTTTTTTACAAAAATGGAGATCAGGAAGGCCAACTAGGTCCTGTCTGGGGAGTTGGTACCACTGTGAGGGAAGGATATAAGGAAAAAGTCTAAGAGTATGTCTCTTATAGAAATATGTACACGTTTGTAAAAGGAACAATAAGACCTGTTGAAACTATTCTAGGAGTGTAGGGGAGTGGAATAAAGGAGAATGATGGAGGGCGTGAATTCAAATATGATATATTGCAACATGTAAATGTCATGTTGTACCCTCAGCACAGTAATAATAAAAACTAAAATAAATAAAATTTGGAGACTTTGATCTAGAGTCCTAAAATCTTCAAAATATTATGCACAAGTATGATAAACAGAAGTATGATTTTGAATTACCAAAAATAGTATGGGTATTAACTTGTAAATATTTTCCATACAAGATGTACAAATGCTTATTATTCCATATGACATAGTGACAATGTTAGTGAAACCCTTAAGAAACTACATCCAAACAATAATAAGTATAAAATATTGCAATTTTAAATATTAAAAAATAAACATAAAATAATTCATAGTATTTTGAAAAGAAAATAGCTCATATAGTGAATATATTTTATTTATTCAGATTCTCCAGAACTACTAAAACTAGATAAAACTTACAAAAATTTTATTTTATTCCTGTGACACTTCTGAGATTTTATATATATGATATATATCTGAATATTATAAATGTGAATGTTATTTTATTATTCAATCTTAAACAAATCACAGTAAGTAAATATATATCTTCTACTATTTTTATACTCTTTTCATTGTTCCTCATAAGTTACCTATATGTACATATATTATTATACTATTAGTGTAATAATATTTTGTAAATATTCTAAGATGTTTTTTCTCAAGAAAGTTTTCATAAAATAGAGAAAATAGACTACATGTAAAAGATAGATGTTGCCATATCAGCAAAAGTTTGTGACAGCTTTTGTAAATATGATTTTATTTCTTTTCTATTAAATAGAAAAGCCAAACAAAGAACAAAGATAAACAGATAAAACTACTGAAAGAAATCCTACATGGAATAAAGGTAACATAAAAGGACATGTCTTTGGTTTGACTATTTAGAGTACAGCAACATGTGGGTCCATCAGTAAGTTTGTAGTGTTCTCAGTGTCTCAAAGTGATCATATATATGATATGTAACTGTTGGGGCTGGATTTCAGATTTGAGATGCTTATGAATTCATTTTGCTAAAATAGCATTAAAATGCAAAACCAAATAAAATGCAAGCATTTTCTTTTGTTTCTCAGCCAATAACTAAGTATAATATTTTTAAAGACACAAATATTACCTATTTTGAGGAATTATGTGGAAAGAATTGGATTAGGCAAATGAGAAAGATGAGATGACATCATCAGTGTAAAAGCAGTTTTCCATGGGGAAGTGATGAACTATCATCCATATTCTTGTATGTGGGATAGAAATGTTTCTATAAATGTTAATCTTATAAAGATATGGTATAAATTGTTTTTCTCTAGAAAACAAATTTTCATCTATGCCACTAATGTTTTCTCTGCAGTAAAATAAATAAAGCTTTATAAACTTACATATATATGTATATATATGTGTGTGTATATATATATATATGATTTCAAATCTAATTTCTTCTAGATTATGCCATAATAGAATTTTCTGAGGGGCAATATTTGCAAAGTCCTCCTGGAATTTCTTTCTGACCTTCACAAATAAAATTCTCTGTTTGATGCACCCATTTTAAATTTAATTTTTTTGTTTTGTCAGTGCAGGGGTTAAACTTGGGGCTTCAAGCTTGCTAAGTGGACATTCAACTGCTTGTCCTTAAATTTATTTTTAGTGATACATGAGCACATAAAATTATACATACTAATGTAGCTGCATGTGATGTTTTGATAACTATATATTGCATATTGTTTAAATCAGGTATAAACATTGATCATTTCTCTATGATGAAACTTTCAAAATACTTTTTTCTAACTTTTTGAAATATGAAGTACCTTTTTGTTGGCTATTGTTATCTACCATGCTGCGTAACACACCAGTACTTCTTTCTCTTATGTAGCTGTGACTTAGTACCTTTTGATCAAACTTTCCCCATTCCTCTCCAGCCCCTATCCTCCCCTGCATCTCATAACCATCATTCTGTTTTTTACCTTCTCTGAGGTAATTTTTTAGATTCCCATATGAGTGAGAACATTCAGTGCTTGTCTTTTTGTTTCTGGCTTGTTTCACTTAACAAAATGATCTTCAGTTCCATACATGTTTTTACTACTGATAGGATTTAAATCTTTTTGTTGTTAAATAATATTCCACAGTGTATGTGTGCCACATTTTTTTGTTCAATTATCAGTAGATGTACATGAATTGTTTTCCATTTCTTGACAATTGTGAATAGTCCTGCAATGAACAAAGGCAGTGCAGATATGTATTTGGCCCACTGACTTTAATTCCTTTGAATAACTACCCAGAAATAGGTTAGCAGGATCTCATGGTAGTTCCATTTTTAATTTTTTGAGGAACCTCCATACTTCTGTCCATACTGGTTGTACTAATTTATATTACCACAGTGTGCAAGGTGTTCTTTTCTACATATACTCACCAGCAATGGCTGTCACAAGAATAACCTGTCTTCCTTTGTTATGCAGAAGGTTTTTGTAATCCTAATAGTCTCTTTTGGATTTGTGCTTCCTTGTGCTTGGGGTCTTGACCAAAAATCACTGGGACATTTATTATTACATATACAGCATATGTATTTGGAATGATATGTATATATTGATTCACCTTAGAACTAGGAAGTTCTGTGTCATGCTGTGTAGAATTTTCAATAAATGGTAGATTTCTGAGATGAAAGAAATTGCTAGATCAAATATACCTTGAAAAGGAACTGATATCCACTTAATTATCTAAGTTAAGAATATCCTTGGCTGGATGCAGTGGCTCATGCCTATAATCTCAGCTACTTGGGGTTAGAGATTGGGAGAATGGTAATTTGAGGCCAACCCAGTCAAAAAATTAGTGAGACTCATCTCAGTCAGTAAACTGGGTGTGGTGGCACATGCCTGTGATCCCAGCTATGCAGGATGCCATAGATAGGAGGATTGTGGTCTTTGAAAAAGAAATTTAGCCATGATTACTTAATAAGCTCACTCTAAAGTAACATGATTCAAATGTGTCTCTCATTGGTTGATTGAGAGCCTTTGCATAGAAAAGTAGAACAGTATATGTTTAAATGTTTTAAATATTGATATTCACAGAAGGAAATATGTGTTTTCCATAGGACAACTACAATGTAGAAAAAAATAGAAGAACATTTCCTCAAGATCTGAGTGACGTCCCAGAGTACAAAGCATTTTTCAGCAGGTTCTAGGCTCAAAAAGTGGTAGCAGTCAAAATGACAGTCAACTAGTGTAATTTAAAACTGTGAGCAGTCAGCACCCTTGGGGGTTGATAAAAAGTGCCATAATTCCTCTCACTGATAATACTGATGATAATTACTGTCTACTAACCATTATTTATGTGCCAAGTGCCATACTTATCAATTTGTATCTGCTTCCCCATGTGATTCTTGTAAACCTCAAGAAAACATTTCTCATTCCCACGAATTTAGGAAACCAAGACTCTGAGCATTTAAGTGTAATATCTGAGTTTACAGAACCAAAGATGGTTCTCCAGACAAATAGATATATATGAGAATATATATACATATATGTCAATTATATGTACCATATATATGTATTACATATAGTACATGCCTATGTATGTTATATCTATGTTATATATCAATTCTCAGTTCTTCTATATAAAAAAGGAGAGAGAGCAAGAACTCATTATTTCATGAGTTAAGTCTGAAATCTGTGTAACAGGCAGGTAGATAAGAAATTCCATCAGGGATTGATGCTGCAGTATTGAGTTTAAAGGCAGTGTAGAAGCAGAATTCCTTCCTGCTTGGGCAACTTTGATCTTTTCTTTTAAGGTCTTCAACTAATTGGATGGGGCTCACCCAAAATATAGGAGGATAATTTGCTTTCTTCAAAGTTTACCAATTTAAATCTTAATCACATATTAAAAAATCTTTATAGCCAGGTGTAGACGAGTGTTGAACCAAATAGCTAGACACCATAGCCCAGTCATAGTACACACATAAAAGTAAGCACTTCAAAGAGAGCTAGAAATTGAATATAGGTTTCTCTCTCCCCCACCCTGTCTCCCTCTCTCAGATGTGTATAGGATCATACATTTTGCTTCTACATTTTCTGTCTCAGAAAATAGTTTATAATCTCAAAAGGCCAATCACATTTCAGAGAATGGTTTGAACTCCCAAGACGTTGAAGAAATGTAGAAGCCAATTTCTTCCCAAGGGAGAAAAGTCCAGCTGTGAAGAAATGGGGAGAAAGCAGATTTGAGAGTTGGACCAGCAGGAAGAGTGACAGAATTGCTCTACACAGAACCTGCTGTAGAGCACAAGCCTAGAGCTGGGAATTAGAGTCTGGCTCAGAAAAAAGTGTGATAGCTTAAAGAAATAAGGTTGGAGGATGGTGATTCTTTCCTCCTATCCCCCACCAAAAGCCCAGTAATTCCAGGAAACATTTTGACTTAGTCAAAAGTAGGAGCAATTTGCTTTTCTTTATCAGTGTACCATTTTTTTACCTTCATAGATTTTTTTGTGTGTGTAGTATGTATTTGTATGTGTGCATTTTTCCCTTCTAGTATATTGATTACCAAATAGCCACCATCTGACTCCTTTACAGATCCTCAAACTTTATGCATGGGAACCTGCCTATAGAAATAAGATTATTGAAATTCGAGATCAGGAGTTGGAATTTCAGAAATCATCTAGGTATCTTGCTGTATATTCTATGCTCACATTAACTTGCATTCCATTCTTGGTGAGTCTACCTAATATTTCATGTTTTATTTTTTAATTTCAATTTATAGATTCTCTAGGAATTAAGGTATATGAGATGAACTCTATGTCTGAATTAAGGTTTTCAAGAAATGCAGTCATTAGTTTTTGCAGATTTGAGGACAAATTCCTTTGTGTGTGTGTGTGTGTTTGTGGTATTGGGGCTTGAACACCAGTACCCTGAGCTACTCCACGAGCCATTTTTTATGATTGTCTTTTTTTAGATAGGGTCTCACAAACTATTTTCCCAGATGGCTTTGAACTGCAATCCTCCTTATCTCTGCCTCCTAAGTAGCTAGGATTACAGGCAAAAGCCACCAGCACCCAGCTACAAAATTCGTAAAGAAGGGGAAGTGTGTGTTCTCTTGGATCTGTATTTTTATATATGACTTTATTGCTTTCCAAATTTCTCAGTTATTAAACATATTCCTTCCTAATTCTTAAAATAAATTAATCTATATTTCAGAGGTAGTTTAAAATAATTGATTAATTTAAACAACCAGTGTATATTATGGAAGAGAAAGCAGTGTTTGCATCTGACTTATAAAAGAAGCATTTGCTTAAGCCAGGATTGTGCACATGACAGTATACACCACTTCATGTGAAAATGAACTTTTTTGCCTTTTCTAAGTGAAACTTATCAAATAGAAACTTATTAACTATGACTTATTCATGTTTTCCTTAATTTTATCATACAAGAAAAGCATTTTTTTTATGTCTTAATGTTTACACATACATCTGGAAAATAAGTTTACATAAAACTTCTGTGAAGAAAAGATAAACTAGTGTAAATTTTAAAGGAGAATATATAGCTTTAGTGAGAATATGATGTTTTAAGAAAAGAGCTGGACTGCATGTTCTTAAATTTGTCATGTAAGACACATGATCATGTCATCTGTATTAAATGCATATTTTGTATTCTTCAGAAACAGTACTGAATATCAGTAAAGAAATAAGTATTAAAATTTATTTCCCTCATTTTAAACACGCCAACTCATAGCGCTGTAAGCAATGAATTTTTTTGAAAGAACAAATCATATATCTATTTGTAGGTATCTCTGGCAACGTTTGGTGTCTATTTCTTACTGAATGAAGGAAACATTTTAACAGCTACTAAAGTGTTCACATCTATATCTTTGTTTAATATTTTGAGGATTCCTCTGTTTGATTTACCAACAGTGATCTCAGCTGTGGTCCAGGTAATCCCAAGTATCCTTAACCTACAAATCATTTCTCTACTGAATATATGCTTTTGTACTTTTTGTCTTTATTGTTTATTGCATTGCCCTTTGTGTAGTTTTTAACACTGTATCATTTATTAGTTGTGTAATAAAGAACATTGTATAAGTGGAGGCATCATGTCTTTAGCAGTTAACAAATGTGACATTTAAATATTTCAATATGTCCATTATTTCATTAATAAATGTTGACTTCTTTTACTTAGATTGGTGAAAGCTGGAGTTAGTCACTGTGCCATCACCAGGTTCACTTTCCATTTTCCACTGAAAATTTATATTTAGAAGCTTTATGTGAAACTGGATCCAAATGTTTTCCCAGAGTTCAGCACCATTTCAGCAGTACTGAATGAACAAGCAGTACAAGCAGAGAAACGTGCATGGCTAAGAGTCTAATGACAAACCTCACGTGAGATTTCTGGTTCAGCCTGCTTTTAGTTATAATCTCTAGCCCCTAGAATCTATTTAGACTGTACAATTAGTAAGAGGCTTTAAAGCCACAGAAAATCAAACATGTCAGTTCATTAATCCTTTTGACCTCAGATTTTTAGTCTGTTAGAATTTTGGAATGCAGTGTTTGGTTCTCTGGCATCCTCCATTGAAACCTTTTCCTCAAGTCTAAGATCATAAACAAAGTTAATCTTTGACTATTGGAATCAGGTCTTTGATCCAAGATCTTTATGTCTTTGGATTTGAGAATTTGCCTTTTTCTTATTTTCTTATTATTTGAATAAAGAGCACCATAAATGGATAGTCAATACCACTTAAGTCATTTTCTGTTACATCTTTCCCTTTTCATAATATTTTACTGATGATAACCAACAGAGGGCATACAAGTACTATCTGTGTAATGCATTTACCACTTGTTTTCATAGCATACTTCTCTGAAATCAAATGTCAGTTCTTGGAGTAACAGTTTTGTTTTGCTTTCATGATTAGAATCTAGCTAAAGGTTTGATACCTCATAGTGTTCTCCATTACCTAGTGGTTTATTGCTGCTTTCACTTCATAAGTAAAGAAGACAACTGTTAGGCTAGGGCTATAGCTCAGTGGTAGAGCACTTGCCTAGTATGCCTAAGGGCTGAGTTTGATCCTTAACACCAGTACAAACACTGTCCAAAGGAGAAAAAAGAAAAGAAAAAGAAGCACCTGTATATACAAATATGAGGTGCTTGGTAAAGAAAATGACAGCTCATTTACAGCTGCTGTTAACAATAGAAGTCATCTAGCACAAAATAAAAGTGCACTAGAATTTCATATAAATTACTTTAGGAAAATGTGATTTTATTTATCCTAACATAAAAAGTAATACAGCTATTTTAATGAAATTGAATGCACATGATTCTGTTTAGTTTCAGAAGCAGGTTTTATTCACCAATCTTGAAGATGCTTTTAAAACCTAACCTTTCTAAACCACAATCATCTATTACCTCATGTATGTTAAGATGGCCATTACCAAAAAGACAGATGATATCAAGGTTTGACTCACATATAACAGAAAGAAAACTTTTTCATGTTGTTGTTATGAATTAAAAGAGTAGAACTATTATGGAAAATGCTATGGAAGTTCCTCAAAAATTAAAAATAGAACTATCATATGATCTAGTAATGTCTAGCAATATTAAATCACTATGTTGAGAAAATACCTGCACGTCCATGTTCATTCTAATATTATTCACAGTAGCCTTGACATTGAAACCACCTGAGTGTCCAATGACAGATGAACATATAAAGAAAATTAGTCTCCTCTTTCTCCCTTCTCAGTATCCCCCTTCTCTACAACCCCCCCCAAAAGTGTATACTGCCATTTGCAACAGTATGGTAGAATATTATGCTAAGTGAAATAAACTGGACACAGAAAGACAAATACTGTAAAAACTTCCTTAAATGTGGTGTCTAAAAACTGTAGATGCAGAGAGTAGAAGGGTGGTTACAAGGAGCCAGGGGATGGGAGGGCAGAAATGGAGAGATAGTAACCAAAAGTACAAGCTTTCAATTATAAAATGAGTAAGTTCTGGAGAACTAGGGTATAGTTGCTATATTCAATAATAATGTATACTCAAAATTTAGTAAGAGGTAGATGTTAAATAATCTCACAATACATGAAAAATGTATGTGAGGTAGTGATTATATTACTTAGCTTGATAGTATTAATCATTTTAAAATATATATGTATATTAAAACATTATGCAAAACCAGGTGCTGGTGGCTCATCCTATAGTCCTGAAAGCTCACTAGACATCATCTTAATCAGTAGGTGGGTGTGGTGGCACACCCTATTATCTCAGTTACGTTGGAGGCTGAGATTAGAAAGACCATGGATTCAGACCAGTCTGGGCATATAATTTGTGAGACCCCATCTCAACAGAAAAAGTCTGGGTGTGGTCACTCACACCTGTCATCATCACAGCTACTGCAAGAAGCACAAAGTAGGGAGTTCACAATCCAGGATGGACAGGGCAAAAAAGTCCATCATCCCTGCAGGGCTACTGCAGGAAGTACAAAGTAGGAGGATCACAGTCCAGGATGGACTGGGGAAAAAGTCCCTATCTGCAAAATTACTAGAGCAACAAGAGCTGGAGGTATAGCTGAAGAGATACAGCGCCTATCTAGCAAGTGAGTATCCCTGAGTTCAAACCCCAGTACTGCCCTCCCCGAGTCATGCTGTATATCTTAAATATATGTAATTTTGTCTGGTACAGATTGAACTTTTTGTCAGAAAGTTCAATCTAAAAAATTAAACTTTGTATAATTATCACTTAATAAATTATTTTACTTTCTAGAATTATGAGGATTTTTTGCTGTTTTTTCTTATGCCCTTTTGTACAGATGATACTTGTTTTGATCTCTGTTCCCTGAAACTGTTTTTTCTTTTTAAGGATGAACTCGTTTTCATTAAGCAGTTCAAGCTATGTTTTCTATATTTACATGTATATTTAAAATTTGCATCAAAACATTGAATCAGGATGTAAATCACAATAAATGTGTTCTAGTTTAAGTTCTATTTGAACCCTACATAAATTCTCTGTGTATTTATTTTAATAGACAAGGGTATCATTGGGTCGTTTGGAAGACTTTCTCAACTCTGAAGAGCTTCTATCTCAAAATATTGAAATGAACTATGTAGGAGGTCAGCACTAACTCATTGCATTTAATATTTATTGGGCTTCTGGGTAGAAGGTAATTAGTTATCGTCTAATCTGCATTGTTGAATTTTTTTTTCTAGATCATGCAATTGGGTTTACTAATGCTTCTTTCTCTTGGGATGAAACAGGAATTCCAATACTAAAAAAGTAAGTCATAATCTGAGGAAAAAGAATTTTAGTACTGAATTCTATAACTACAATATTATTATTTCTTAGAACTTTACAAGATAAATATGTTGAAATTAATAAGGCATTTTAAAATGTTTTTGTGCCTTTCACTCTTGCTGTATCACTTTATTATTCTTTTGTTCTTCACAGCTTAGAAAGCTAAGTGTAGAAAAATATAAAAGGAACAACTTTAATGATGTCTACAGTGACTTATCTATAAATAAGAATATACATTCTTAAGAATATATATTAAAGACACATTAAAAACTTTTCTTTATGACATTTAAAGCAACCCAAACAAATAGTTCCTATATCATTTCCTTTCCTTTTCTTGTGATGCAGCTTGAACGTGAAGATTCCAGAAGGAGCTTTGGTGGCTGTTGTAGGTCAAGTTGGGTCTGGAAAGTCATCTGTGCTGTCTGCTATTCTAGGGGAAATGGAGAAACTTACAGGAGTTGTTGAAAGAAAGGTAGCACCATTAATACATTTTTGTAACATATGTTACTGGAAGTGGCAATAGCCAACTTGTCACTAGGGTCAATAAGAATTCATTAAATTGAATTGAGGATCCAAGTATTTAATGGGCATTTCTAGTTTGTAACAAAATTTGAATATCCATAGAAATTGATTATCTATGGATGGGTTAGTAACAAGATTCTGTTCTCCAAATTCTTCAGCAAATCATTTATGAGTGCTTATGGTAATTATTTGATAATATTAACTGAATTGAAACCAATTATAGAGAAATGGATGTGATTTCTATTAAAATTTGATTAGTTTTATAATTATCATTCATTATAAGGTTCCCTAAGTAATTATGGCCATTCCATTTCTAAGGCATTTGTAACTGCTCATGGGTAGAATCTTTGACCTAAGAGAAACCTCACAAAAGTAATTATGTTAATAGCTTACATTTAACATTTGAATTATGGGAAGGTCTACTTTCAGCCTTTTTTTCCCTTCTCTTAAAGACTTTAGGATACTATGAAAATTATAAGATACTATAAGAATTGAACAAGTTCTTAATCAGCTGTTTTTCTTGCTTTTGTTTTGAAAAACTAGAATATTGAACTAGTTTTTCCTTAGATCTAATGGACTCTTAGCTAAAGTACTAGCCCAGTACCACCTTCTCCTCTCTGACAAGCTGGAGAAACTGTTTCTCCTCACACTCACTTTTTTCCCTCTCTGAGAAAAATCAACTCTAGCTCCTTCAACTCTCTTCACAATGTATCTTCATAGCCTTCTATCTTTCTTGATTCTAAACTTTTGTGATTCTAGTGACTAAATTTTATATTCCTTTTTCTTCCACCATTACTGTTACTAAGCCCTAGCATCATATATGATTCCCATGACTTTTCTAACAAGATAACATTTAAAGAAAGCCTTTTAAGTCTATTAATCTAATGAACACCTACTTTTTGCTCTTAAGCATACAGTTTTTATAGCCCTGTGTGCTTAATAGTGCTTGTAATTAGCACTTTCTCTATAGTTAAAGATGACTTTAACTTTTTCTAGACAAATACAATGAGCCTCATGTTAATTTTATTTTCATTTAGCTTTTTCAGCAGTATTCACTACACAGTTTTTGAGCATATACTGTGCATTTAGCACCTAGTACCAAGGAAACAAACATGAATAAGATATGTTTCTCTCCAATCAGACTTCATAGTCTAGTGAGGAGATACCAAGTCAATTATGACAAATGTTTAAGTAAACTGTAAAAACAATGAATAAAAGCATAAAAAACAACAAATTCTGCTTTGAAAAATAAGAAAAAAGAATTAGAGATGGTGTAGCCTTTTATTTGATTTTGAAATGTAATTAGGAATTGATGAATATAAACATAACAATTCTAGGTTTCACTTAGTGGATTAATAATGATAATGAGCTTAAAACCTGGGTTGGAATTAAATAAGATTATGTACAAAGACCTAGCTAGTTTCTGGCACAGTCAGCTAGCTCCTATGGATATTTATGACTGGCATTGTTTTCATTTTGATTGTTGAGGTTCTTATGGCAACATTAAAGGATTATTTCTTATATCTTTGAATCCTTTAAAGTATTCATGGTGATGAAGGAAATCATAACAGTTCCATTGCTAATGGTAAACTAGAGGGGACTCCCTTTATTTATATTGAAGTATAGATGTAAGTTAAAAGATGTTATCTGTCTATATAACTGGTTACTTGGGACTTCAGGACGCATTTCAACTGGACTGATGCCAAAAGTTGAAGTATCACACTCTGAATTGTTTCCCTAAATATTTCCTAACTTGAATTGGTTTCATCTTGATAAACTGTACTTCAGCAAAATGATCATTGTACTGGCATAACTGATCCAACATTTAGTTTTAAAAGTGATTTTGTGTGTGATTTTCTGTTTTTCAGTGCTTCAGATGATCACTTTTTTGAGCCATAGTTTATATCACAATATTCAAGTTCTGCAAGCATCCATTCTAAGATCCTCTGTTCCTCTCACTATCAAAAGTGCACTCTAAACACAGTTCTTGCAGAGTATTCAGTGTTCAGGGCTCATTGATGGGACATCGGAGATTTGGAGACTATTTTTGAATTAACAAAATTTTTATTTAAGTTTCATTATTGAAATGAAATGTATGAGTGAAATGAAAAATGTATTTTTCTTTGCAGGTGGGAGGTGAATAATAATTATAATAATATAAAAGGAAATATGTACATCTCTATGAACATTGATCAGCTATTTCTTAATTGTAATACTAATATAAGACCGTATCACTCAGTGTAGTGTTTAGTTTTTGTTTTATGTCATTTTCTCACTCTCAATCTTTTCTCCTGTGTTCTTGAATTTATTCTGTTCAACTTGTTTGATATGTCACAAATATGCAAAATATTTTTCACCTGCAGACTAATTTACGATGTTATTTAATCAAAGGTCAGATTTTTCATTTCACAAGGAAATTTAAGAGCAATTACTTTTGTGTCTAAGATCAGGTCAAATCAGAATTATATTGTTTTTGATAAAAAATCAGTCCCTGTCTTAACATCCTCAACAAAGCATTAAATGTTAATCTTTGATCTTTGAGGTAGTTGATAGAAATCAAGAGGCTAATAGTTGCATACATACCTACCTCATAAAGTACCTTAAATATCTCATTGCTACAGAGTGTACAGTAGTCACAATACACCAAAATCAATGTTTAGACAGAATCCAAGGGGCAGATTGAAAGGTAGGTCTCTAGTTGAAATACTGCAAGTTCATTTCAAAGAAAGAAGAGTTAGAGGACATTTCATGCAGCAGGTTGTGATTTATTTAGGAGTCATTTCAAGCCATTAATGAATATAAGAACAGTGATCAATGTGCTGCTCAGATTGCCCTTCTCAGAAATACTTGCTGCCTACTGTGAAGGAGCACAATGAGCAAATCAGCATCCTCAGGGTGGCCTTGGCTGCAGACAGCAGCCCAATCCCACTCTGGTTCTGCCTAACACAGGACGACTGATGGATGATACTCCTTTATGGCTCTAGAGCATTGGCCAAAGTCTGTCAGGCCTGCATTTCAATATGATGTTCCTTCTTCCTACTCTTCCTTTCTCCTTTCCTTCCACAGGGGTTCATTCCCAATATTCAATATGCACCCCAAACTCTGCCTTAATGTTATAAACTGAGTTGTGTTTCCTAAAAGTTCAAATGTGGAAGTTCTGACCTCCCCTCAGTAGCTAAAAGTATATTTGGCGATATGGTCTCTCAAGAGTTATTAAGTTAAAATAGTCTTATTAGGGTGGAGTATAATCCAACATGGCTGAGTATTGAGAAGAGAAGGTTAGAGCACAGGTACAAACTCAAAGTGGTTACCACATGAAGCATAGGGAGAAGGCAGTCATCTACAAACCAAAGAAGGAGGCCTCCAGAGGAACTAACCCTGCTGACACTTTTACTTGGACTTCCAGCCTCCAGAAGCATGAAGAGATAACTATCTGTTGTTTAAGCCATCCATCTATTGGACCTTGTTATTGCAACCCAAGAAAAGTAATGCATTCATAGTGTCTGCTTCTAGGAAATCCAACCAGAGATGGGTGCAGAAAGTACAATGAAAGCAAATAAGAAGTACAATGTGACTCACTTGAAGGGAATGTTAATAAACATGGATACTATTAAAGTAGCATACCATGAGATAATATATCCCCATAAGAAATAAGATAGATTTAAAATTATATGTACATCTATACCTGTGAATTACAGTATAATTGCACATATACATGTATATGTATTAATGAAAGAAAAACTACAGACTAAACACAGTTTTAATATTTTGCATGACATTTGTTCTCTTTCCTTGTTAAGAATACTGCTTTGCTTTCTTTCTTTAGGGTTCTGTGGCTTATGTTTCCCAGCAGGCCTGGATTCAGAATTGCATTTTGCAAGAAAACATTCTCTTTGGCTCCACCATGCAGAAGCAGTTTTATGAGCAAGTATTGGAAGCCTGTGCTCTCCTTCCAGACTTGGAGCAGTTACCAAATGGAGATCAAACTGAGATTGGAGAAAGAGTAAGGACAATAAAATTATAATTTATCATAATGCAGGAATAAAATAACATTCAGCTACTAAAATGTTAATAACCTTTTTACTGAAGTCTGAAGAGCTATATAATTTTTAAAACTTATTATGTATTTCTATGAAAAATGGAAGAATCTGTGGATAAATAATTATTTATAATGAGCTATCAAAAAAGCAGCTTAAAAATCAATTCTGTACATAGTATCCACAAAGAGTAATAAAAGCCTACAAATTATATTGTGAACATTTTTGTCTTAGTTGCTCGCACATTGCTTTCCAGTTTCTAAAGAATGAATAATAATTTCCCCCCTGCATATCTTTGCACAAAGTCAAGGACAAGACGGGAGTAGCAGAGCACCAAGTTTGGAAGCACTAAGAAGAACATGTTTCCCAATCATGGAACAGTTTGTTGTATTTTATTAATGAATAGTCATTACTTTACTCAGTGTTTTAGAGTTAAAAAAAAGAAGACAATATTGTGACTAGAGTATGAACCCCTGGAGATTATCCTTATCCCACAACTAAAATCTCCATTAACTAAACATGAATGTAAGAGTATCCTTGCCTTACAATTTATCCATGCTATAAAGATGAATGAATAACCTTTACTGAGTACATTGAATATCCAAAAAGATATTGGGCATAGGTCTTTTACATTGATAAATAAAATATGGTATTTAACAAAATTATAGGCAATAGAAATATATAAAATCTAGAATGATCCAAATTTTTTCTTGCAATTAGAATGACTTCACTCATAGTCTGTTACTTTGCAAGTGTAATTTTTCAATAATACTAAATAGATTTATTATTTTTCTACAGCTACATTTTTTCTATTATCTTCATTGTCCCTGAGAAAAATGATGCCATAGCTAAATGTGACTTCTTCAAACTTGTTAATACATATTGAACAATATGAAGATACATATAAACATATTATTCATAACTTCATTATCTATATATATAAAATACATATATATAAAGGAAAAAATCCAAGATAAGAATAGGAATAGTTCAATATAGGAACTAGATGGTATTGTTATTTGTAATTTCTACTTTCTACAAATAGATTTCTCCCAATATGTTGATGCACTTTAAAATAAACATGAAATTGAACATCTCAAAAGACAATCTGTTTACCGCTGTTTATAAATACGACAATGAATGTTGAGTTTCCCCTTACTTTGATTGATTATTTTCTTTGACATTCTTTAATGGCAACAAACATTTATTAATTTATTATATGCTCTTGTTCTGTTATGGAGTATATAATGGTGAGCAAGAGAACTATCACCATGCCTTCAAGGTATTTGCAGGCTAGTGGAACTCTGCCAATTTTTAATCAATTATCCCTAATGATATTTATTAATTATCCAGTGTCACACACTAAGTGTTGGGAATGCAAAGATAAACTTGATGGAACTCCTAAGCTAGTGAGCATGGCGGCAATTCTAGCAATACAATGATTAAACAAAGAGTTGCAAGACAGGAAAAGGGGTAATATATCACTTCACTTGGGACACCGGAAGAGAGGTTGATTTCAAAAAGGACATTTGATGTACTAAATATTCATTTATAATCATTGCCTTTTCTTTAATCCATGTCAATTAGGTACTCATTTCTAGGTGGTATTTGGCACTTGCATCTTTCACTGAACTTCACCCATGCTGTATTGTGGGTTAGTCATCTATCACATTTATTTCTGAACATATTCCACCATGTGGCTTTACGCCTTGTTTATTCACACAGCAGTGATGGACATGGGAATCGGTTTCAGTCTGGAATTGCTAAGAATAGTGCTGTGAACATCCATGAGCAAATATTTGTGTGTACATTTTTCATTTCTTTTGGGTAGATACGTAGGAGTGATGTTGTGGAGTCATGTGGCAAATTTGTGGTTTTTTTCAGTGCATCACCATGTTTGTTTTTTTGTTTTCTGTTTTATTTTTTATAAAATGGCTGAAAGAATTTTCACTTCCAGTTTCTTCACAACTTTGCCTGCACTTGTTATATGGAATAGCAATTTTAGTGTGTTTAAGCAGACTCCTTTTGACTTTAATTTACTTTACTTCCCTAATTCAGGAGCATCTTTTTATAAGCTTATTACTCAGACCTTTTGTTTTGGTGAAGTGTTTATTCAAATATGTTCCAATTTTTAAATTGTGCTATTTGGCTTGCAACTGATTCATTGTAGCTCTAGAAAAACATTTTAAGTACAAATTTATGTTTGAAAACCAGAACTATGCAATTAAAAAACCAAGAAGTATATTTGAGAGTGGGTATCCTTTAAATCAAAAAGGGAAGATGTTGGCTCCCAGGCAGAATGAACAGCCTTTTGCTTAGTGTAAAAGGCCATGTTAGTCTGATTGACAAACCTGTCATTTGAGGCAACCTTGAAAGAATGGTTAAAGAGATGAACAAATCCAAGAATATAACCTCCTTACATTTATACTAAGAAAAACACTGTTGCTCATGAGTGATGGGAAGATGGAGATGTGGTTAGCCAAGGTTTCTTTCTTTCTTCCTTTTTTCTTCTTTCTTTCTTTCCTTCTTTCTTTCATTTTATCATTTTTACATTTGCTTACAAGTGTATACAAGGTTTTTAAGCAGAATGGTGGTATAATTACAGGATAAGAAATGACAAGGCAGAGGATAACTTGGAGAGAGTAGTGATTGGGTGAAATAGACAATGTTGATTGTGCCCACACTTAGTGTTGAATATGTCTAAATGTTTTTACACTCGTTCAATGTTCCCAACAAATCTATGATCTGGGGACTATCATAATAACACACAGATCACACATACATATGACACTGCTTTATTTATATCTTTCAGTCCTCTTTCCCTTTGCTAAGCTGTGTCCTCCTTATGAGGCTAGCATAGCACCCATAATATAGTCATATTGAGAAATTTGTTGAATAGTAGGAGGATGTGAAATGCAAAAAGCAATGCATTTTACAATTAGGTGTCATTGGCTAAGTTCTGTGTTGCACTGAGAGCTTTAAAACACGATCTGTAAACACTAAACATAAAATGAATCAAGAAAATTGGTCCTGACCCCATAATTCTCCATGGCTGTACATGTCAACTTTAATTCTCACATAGTGATGTATACTAGCTATTTTTTCTTCTTAGAGTTGTACTTTTGCCAACAAGACTTGTACCAATTTTTCTACTGGAAAAAATAGGACACATTGATTGCTGCTTTGGTAATTTAGCTATTATTCTCAATTTCCTATGTGTCAACTGAAAAATGATCATTAGTGTCAGTATATGGTTGGCAACCAAAAATCTTGCTTAGCATTCCACAGGCATGACTTTCAGAGATCAAGGTTTTCTCCTTGTTAGCAACTCCTTGAGAGAGTAAGCAGTAAAGAGAAAGTAGATGTTTGTTAGTTTACACAGTCTGGTAGGACTAGGCAGTAAGAAGATATTAGAGAGAACTCTAAGTGTTCATCTTGGGCCATTAGCTGTTCATGATATAAAAGAGCCTAACTGCTGGGTGTGGTGGTTCACATCTGTAATCCCAGCTACACAAGAGATAGTGGTAAGGAGATCACAGGCTCAGGTGTACACAGGCAAAAGCAAGAGAACCTAGCTGAAAACCAAAATAAAAGTAAAAATATTGAGTGTGTAGCTGTAGTAGCATTTTTCTCATAACTGATAGGTCTTGAATTCAATCTCAAATACCACACACACACAGTATAAAAGAAAAATGTAAATGCATGTGTTTGAAATTAGCAAACTTTTCATCTGGTCTTGTTTTTCTCTTGGTCCTTATTCAGGGTGTGAATATAAGTGGGGGCCAGAAGCAGCGAGTGAGCCTGGCCAGAGCTGTCTATAGTAGAGCTGACATCTTCCTCCTGGATGACCCCTTGTCTGCTGTGGATGTTCATGTTGGGAAGCAGCTTTTTGAAAATGTGATTGGGACTTCTGGACTTTTGAAAAACAAGGTAGTGACAGTATTACTTATGCTTCTGAGTGAGGGGGTGAGGGGAAGCTACTTGGTCTAGCATTGCGCCTGAAATTCCAATTATTTTGTTTATTTGTTTAAGTAAAGTTTTGAAATTTCACATGAAAAAACAAGATGCTTATATTTCTGTTTTAGAGATAAACTTCAATAAGTGTTTTAGAAGTTTTTCTTGTAAGTCTACATTAGTAACAAGCATGTGTATGTGATTGTTATACAATCGATTAGTACCACTTATAGGTCCTAAAGAGCTCTTTCTTGTTTGGTGTCTTTTAGTTTTCCTTTTTTGAAAAATGGTATATTGGTACATAATACTTTATCTAAAAATAGAATGATTTCATTGTCTCTTTTGTAATTTAAAATTTAGTATTGCTAGCATATAAGTAAAAATGATCCATCTGTTTCATGAAGCGCCAAGAAGATAGGACTTAGTATTTAGTGAGTGCTTGCCATGTTCACCCCTTCATATCACTTTTCTTCCTTGTTCTTGAAGTAAATTTCTGAAATAAGCATTATCATAATGCCTATTTCACATGTGAAGGAGCTCTGGGTTCCAAATGACCCAGTAGAAGTTTCTCTACAGAACAACATAGATTTTTTAAAAATTTATCTGACTTCAAAACCATACTCTTTTCTTTGTAATATGTGTTTATAGATTGGTAGTATAGAGGAGATATTGAAGTATAAAATAGAAAAATACACAACAAAGAAAATGATACACAAATGTCCTTAGTTATTTGGATGAATACCAGATAAAGACACCTTATTAACTTGCATATATATGTATAAAATAATATGAAAAAATAAAAAATAAAGACTTACGTATAACTTGGGCCAAACACAACTGTTGGTAACGGTACCCTGCGTTTCAAAAAGGTAAACAAGAATGAAAAATATGAAACTGCTTTGAATTTACTATGAAATTGTTTCATTTCTAATAGAATGAAAAATATCTGTACTAAAGAGTTAAAATCATGTTTGCAAGCAGCTATTTGCTGTCTAGCAGCATGCCATCAGTCATTATGAAACATATAGATGCTGATTTGAACTATCACCTACCAAAATTATACTCTAAAGAATGTAGAACTTTTAAACCTGTTGAAATCACCATAAGGGGACTAAGGTACAAAGCAGAAAAAATAAAGGGATGAATCAATTCAAGTTACAACACATATATTCATGGAACTGTCACAAGGAAACTCCCTGTATAGCTGTCTTAAACAAGCAAAATATGTCTTTTATTTCAAAAGCACAGAACAGAAAGGTAAAACAGGTCTCATCTGGGGTTTGGTACCAGTGGGAGGGGTAGGATATAAGGAAAGAGTGTAGGAAAGTGACTATGGTAAAAATGTCATGCTCTCATGTATGCAAATGGAAAAATGAGACTTGTTGAAACTATTCCAGGAATGGGGTAGGGCAAATAAAGGAGAGTGATGGAGAGAGTGAATTCAGCTACTACATATCGTAAGAACTTTTGTAAATGTCAGAATGTACCCCTAGTACAATAATAATATGATACTAAAATTTTAAATGAAAAATAATTAAAAACCTTTAGTCAGAAAAAAATAGTAAAGACAAAATAAATTGCAGCTTTTTAAAAGCACCATGTGCCATTTCTTTATAATCTATAGAATAAACAATTTGCCTTTCAGACTCGTATTTTAGTGACACACAACCTCACAATTTTGCCACAGACGGATCTCATTGTTATGATGGAAAGTGGCAGGATAGCACAAATGGGAACCTACCAGGAGCTGATGTCTAAAACTAAAAACCTCAGTAATTTGCTTCAAGTCTTCAAAGAACAAGAAGAAGGTGAGGACACAACAGATAACAAACATAAGGAACAGCCTGCCTGCCCATTTTGAAAGTCCATTAAGTACCTGATTTCTTGCTATCTGTTTTTCTTCATTTCTCCTGTGCAAGTCAAGGTCTGAGAACCTTTCTATAGGAAAGAAACGAATATCATGAAACCATTGGTTAAAAAATCAAACTTATTTATGATTTTTAATAACAAATTTAAATACCTCATGATATTCTTCATTTATGAAATAAGAGATCCGATGATTTATAAATTCTCTTCCAGATCTAAAATATAATGGATCTAATCATTGTACCTACTTTTAAATTAGTAGTAAAAAGCACAAATCCCTATGGAATAAATAATAAGTATTTTAAACATCTGAGGTATAATATTGCACTTTGGGGAAGAAAAAGAATCTGAAGAAAGGAAAAAGAGAAATATATTTGTTTAACTTTTAAGAATTAACAACTTGGATTTATTTATTAATTTTTATATTTATTTACAAGGCTAGAATTTGAAATTCAGGTTTATAGATTTTTTTAAATAAATTAAATGGACACAAAGATGCTTGAAATTTAGCATCATTTTAATGATCCACAAAAATAAGTCTTTGCCTACTGTGAAAGTTGGGTGTGACATCATCTGTTTTCACAGCTGTACATGGTTTCTCATGCAAATCATCATATCATTATGCCTTTCCTATACCTTTCCAGAGCACCACTGTAAAATCATCTAAAAATTGTTAACTATTTCATAATTTCATAGGTCACAGAGCTATATTAGTATTTCCAGTATTTTCTTTGTGAATTGATATATATTCACTGACTTTATACTTTACTTACATACAAAGGTCATAAAACAATGAAACCAGCTTATCACAATGATCAGTTGGATTTATTTTGTATTATTGCCATGAAGTGAAAAAAAAAAGGTCATTTTTAACATTTCTCTTTTGGATGTACACATTTATTATGTGAGTTGCTTTTAATTCCATGGCTTTACTGCTTTCTCATATTACAAATATTCAAAAATACTTAATGCATCGTCAAAAGCAAGCACTCCATCTTTTGTTTCTATCCTCATGCTAAGCAAATGTCAGGTGCTCAGTAGATGTGTAAACAGTGGCTTCCAGAAGTGTGTCGCCTCGGTGTTAAATCCAGGGGGATTTGAATTTGGAATGTTATGAATGTTGTTGGTTCTCTCTCTCTCTCTCTCTCTTCCCACCCCCTTTATGGCCATTTATTTTAAAGGCCACATAAAACATAGGTTGTATTACTTTGAAAAATACATCTCTAAAAGCAGGCAGTGTGAGGGTTTTAACTTACATATTTAATTTACCATGAAATGTGAGCAGTGTATCCTTTGAAAGTTATGGAATTTGTTACTGTTTAAACCCCCTGGCAAACAAGTATCATGCCTTGTCTGCATTTGTAGATTTTTTATGTTTGTGTCCTCTACTGTAGCAGATTAAAAACAATATTATTCTTGACCTTAGGTTAATAGGTGTTGCCACTTTACCACCAGAAATATACCAGTTAGAAAAATGTAATTTGAACTTTTTGCCTAATTACCTCAATATGTCTGTGTCTTCTATTAGAAATTAGAGAGGTAAAAAGTAGAGAATTTTTATAATAAAAAATATAATGAGTTTTTGAAAATTTGTATTTCTGGGATTTTGACTTTTTTTAATGCTTGATAAGAAAATAAGGCTTGTGAAAAACAACCATAAACCAGGAGTGGCGGCTTGAGTATATAATCCAGGCTACTTGGAGAATAGAGATCGGGAGGATTGATTTGAGGCCTGGGAAAAAATTTAGTGAGATCCCATCTAAACAGCAGCAATAAAGAAAGGCAGGTGGATCAGGGTCTGAGACCTTCCCAGGCACAAACATGAGACCTATCTAAGAAATAACTAAAGCTAAAAATAGCTGGGGCTATGGCTTAAGTGGCATAGCGCCTGCCTAGCAAGTGTGAGGCTCTGAGTTCAATCCCTAGTACTACCATCAAAAAACCCCAGCAACAGCATACTTTACTCACAACAAATGATAGATTTAGCTAGCCAGCTAGCTAGCTATAGATAGATACATAGATAGATAGATAACTTGCAAAAGCATGTGTAGTGTAGTTTTGTTAGTCATCTTATATGTAAGGCAAAAATAGATTTCAATACTATTAAAAAACCCCATTAAAAAAAATAGCTTCAAACTCAGTTACATTCAGTGTGATATCCTAACAGTACTGCCCTTGTCTGTACTCCATGCTTTAGAGAGTCCCTGCTCTGGGCCTCTCTACCTGATGCTCAGGAGACCAAGGGATTATGCCCAACAGCAATGCCCTCCTCGCCTCCCATTTCTTGACCACTCTATATCTGTATGTTCCAGAATTCCTTGCCCAAATGATGTAAACTTGCTTCTGGGACCTGGCTCTTATTTCTTAGGTCTGCCCTCCTAAGATCCAACTGCTGTGCTAGTACGCAGTACTCTTTGGACTGAGGATGTTTTTATTTTGAGGATGGCGAGGGGAGCAGAGTCTGTACATGTGGGCTGAAATATCAAAAGATGTGTTCCAAGGTGGAGCTGGGGTGGGAGAGAGAGAGAAGAAAGGCCTTGATTGAGAATGCTGCACCAAAGACTCCCATGTTCTCAGGAGGTCAGAGGCATTCAATCATCTCTCCTGAACATTGTCTTCTAGGTGACTGGTAGGATGTATTTGTTAGAGTAAGCAATAGAACTTACATAAGAGTTTGACAGTTTCATCTACAACTTTAAAATAAATAGAAGGTGTGTAAATATTCATTTGTACTCTTGCCCTGATTCATACAAATATTATTTGTGGGCCTATTCCTGTGGGATTTTGTATTTCTTATTTGTACAAGTGGCAAGGAAAAATCAAATACTATATGAGGACATTTTTGAGATATGACATAACAGTATTACCTGTTAGAGAGTGCAATCTGAGAGGTGTGGCCCCAGATTTGTAATTACCCTATGGCCTGCCATTCACTTATTATAATTCATTTTTTGTCTTGAGTCTGTTCAAGAATTCCTTAAAGGGTACAGGGTTTTTCTATTTTAAAATTCTATACCTTTGTGATACTACAAGAGGGGTAATAAGTCAGAACAACATTGTGAAAAAAACAATGGACCAGTTGTCAAGAGCTGTAAGATCTAGTCCTCATGCTGAAAATCTCTGGCCATCTTCATAGCAATGACTTAACTATTCTGGTTCCTCCTATTTATGAAATAGTAGGCTTGAACCACCTCCATCTTTTCCTAGTGGCTGTCATGGAACTGAATAATGTACATAAATACCACTCTCCTGTCTTCAAAACTGCTTGTGACTCAGCCATGCTTCCTTCTTTCCTGATTATTCTCAGATATGGAAAGATTTGGCAAAGTTGGAAGACCTACCATTGTGTTTTCTTACTAATCTTCACAATTATCACATTCATATATAAGCTTGCTGAAATTATATTGTCCTTTTAAAGACTAGAGTTGTATTATTCTTGGTAAATACTTACTTCTTTTATGGAAGATGTAAAATAAGTTAGCAACACTCTCTAATGTATAAATAAGAATTTCTCAGTAAGGTTTTCCATCCTGAAATCTTAGATCATTAAAACACTACATTTTAGGTGAAGTGGAATCAGTGGAGAAAATGAATAGGCTCTCAGTATACTTTTGGATCCAGAACTTAAAAAAAAAACTCTCCAATTTGTATAATCTTTCATCATTCTTCTCTTTGTTTTGTGAATTGCTTGCTCATAAAAGCACTCACCATCTTCCTCTCCAGCTCATGTTTTAAAGCAAGTCAGTGTAATCAACTCCAGAACTATACTGAAAGACCAAATCCTGGAGCAAAAAGATAGGTGAGTACTAGGATAATACCATGCTCTATGGATTATGGAGCAACTAATTAATTTTTTAGCTTTAAAATTCATCCTATAGGGCTGCATAGCATGTGTGAGGCTTGGGGTTCAATCCCCAGTATTGCAAAAAATCCTATACAAGGAATCTATATTCTAAAATGGATATAAAATGTACTTAGTGTCTTCTAATTCTAAACGATTTGCTAAATCAGTGTGCTTATTTTTTTTGAATCAGATAGATATGAATTAGCTTTGGAAATCTATGCTTATGAGACTCATCCATTTCTAGCTAAATTCTGGTAGTAGAAACTAATCTAACTAGATGTGTGACCAAAATAACCCTATTTTATGCATATATATGCTATTCAGATGTGAATTTGTAAATAGTCTTTGGACATTTACATTTGGTCTGGGATGATTACCAGTCAGGGTATGTGACTTAGAAATATAACCATGGACTTGGGGTAGGAATTGAAGAAGCCCTTTAAGAAAGACAAGAGGAAGGAAGGGAAGAAAGGAGGAAGAAAAGAAGGAAGAAAGGAAGGAAGGAAGGAAGGAAGGAAGGAAGGAAGGAAGGAAGGAAGGAAGGAAGGAAGGAAGGACAGTGATGAGAAGGAGAGAGAAATAAAAATAGCAAACACTGGCCTTGATTATTGGATTTCATTGTATTTATTGTGATCCTTGGTTGTTTTGGTGTGTGTGTGTGTGTGTGGTTGATAATTAAAATGAGCAATAAGCAGTGATATTGAGCAATGAAGCCCAATATTCTGACAGATTCTTCCTCACAAGGATTCCTCCAGTAGTTGCCTAAACAGGAAGCAGAATGAGAAAAGGAAAGAGAAATAGGAACAAAGGGATTGAAAAGAAAGTGGCTAGAGTTATAGGAAGCAGTCACTGGTCAAAATTGGTAAAATGAAAGGAAGTAAACACTTACAAGATCCAACATCTCAGAACTTGATAGACTTGAATTTAAATAAATTAGTTCCTTTAGTTCATTATTTTTAAAGGATTGGATATGAGTAAGAGGTATTTTTTGTTGTTTAAGGATTGGATATGATTATGGATGTGTGAATAATGTAGATGTGGCAGGTCAGAGCTCTATGTACAGACCAGACTTATCTGACTTAATAGGTCAACTGAATCATTCATTGTTGATCATGAAGACCTTAGACTGGTTCATTTTATCTGTTCTCTTGGTGTAGTCTGTCCGTCTTCAGGGTCCAGTCTCATGTCTTTAAATATTTTCTACACACTAATACTTCCAATTTTATATCTCTAGCTTATTTTCTTCTCTGAGCCCCAAGATTGTATGGCCAACTGACTTTCTCAGCTTCTTCCCTTTAATAAATCCTAACTGACATGTTCAATTTATATGTCTAAACAGAACTACTGCTATATAAGCACCCTCTCTTTCTCAACTAGGCAACACTATTCTTCCAGTTGCTTCTTGGACCTCTTTTGTTCTGCATTATTTTAATGGCCTTCTTACAGGATTTTCTTCTGCGATCTTTGCCCAATACAGACTGTAAGCAATGACACAACCAATGATTCTTCTACAAATATAAGTCAGATTACACCACTCTTCTACCTCAGACTCCCAATGGGTTAGTTTTTTAGCTAATGACCCATAAAGGCCCACAGGACCTGGGTCTGTTTACCTTTCTGATCAAATCTCCTTAAGCTCACATCTCACTATTCCTCTCCAGCAGACTTTTTGCTGTTTCTGGAAGAACCAACCGTGTCCCCACCTCTGGACTTTTGCATTTTCTGATACTTTGCCCAGATAACTCTATGGCTTCCTCATCTACTTTGATTGGTATTTACTCCAGTGTCGCTTCATCAATGAAAATTTTCTTATCTACCTTATGTCACATAACAATACTCCTCAGCTTTATTTTTTCTCAAGACTTAACAATTTTCATCACAATGAAAATTTTATTTATTTTCTTTTATTTTTTTCTTTCTCCCACCTCTAGGCTATAACCTTTATAATGGTGCAAATTTTTGTGTCTTTTTTCACAGTCTATTGCCAGAAACTAGAAGATTGAATGGTACATAAATCAATACTCAATAAACAGAGTCCAAAAGAATACTCACAGTTCTTATAACCCATTATTTGTTTCATTTTTGGCCATCATAACTTAGTATCTTCCATTGAAATTAGTAGCGTTTTTAAAAGATCTCCAAGAAAAGCCAATCCAGAAGCTGACTTGGAAGGCATGTGTTGTGGGGTATACACATTTCTAGATCTTAGTCTTTACCTGCATATAGTCTCACCATGCATTCCATAAGTAGCAAAACAAGCCAATAAGTATTGTTGTATCCTTCCATATATAACAAATAAATTTTCCTTACTTATAAAGTCATTCTGAATCATAATATATACACTGAACCCTTTGAAGTTTCTGTGAACCATTTTTGGGAAAAATTCCCCATTTTTCTGTTTGAGAAAAGAAACCCAGTCCTATAAACATTTGTTACAGAATTTGTTTCCACATATTTCCAAGTTACAGAAGCTCAAGCTGGAATCACATTCAGAAACTGAATTCTTTTCAATGAAGAATATGTTGGGAAGACCCCTCCAGTGGTAGTATGTCATATTCTTATCAACATGACCCAGAGTCAAGCTTACTCTTTAAGGAGTATGAGAAAATCTAATTGGTTTCAAACCTAATGGGGAGTCCATGAAGACTCTTTGCTGATCTTTATTTTTCAAATAAGAAATTATATTATTTTTATCTTAGTTTAAGTGGCCTTTAATTTTTCCAATTACTTGCCTCCCTAGTTTATTACTTTCTATGTCATTTTTCTACTCTTTCATTTTTAATCTGCTTTACTATTTGGTAACATAAAATTCAGAGAGAGCATTTTCTTGACTTTTCAAGGCAATTCTCTATTTCCTAGAATACCCAAATTATTTTGAATTAGTGCACAATTAAGATGGACTAGGGATTGGCAAATAGAAGTAGGCAGGAACTTGTCAGCAGTTGGAGCTCTCCACAATGGGATGTATTGAGACAAAATACAAGGAGTCTTCCTTATGGAAAGAAAGGTTTATGGGAAACCTGACAGCTGCTTGTTAGAAATGAGGAAAAGAAAGGGAGCTGGATGGGAAAAATGTCTGAAAATTTCTCCTATCAAAATTTGAGAATTCAGATTAGTTTAATGATGTTGGTTCAGTTTTCTAATAAGGGATAAAATATTTTTAACTTTTTATACTCATATTTCTTCTTTGTCTAAATTTATGTACTGAATATTAATTACCTCTTTACATCTCTAATACTATCTTTGAATAAAAAGAAGGGGAATGTCATTTCAGCACCTACACTGCCCCCTTCAGGCTTTCTTGCCAACCATTCCCAACCATTTTAATCTTCCCATACATACTTTACTTTGCAATTGTGTGCTCAGTTCAAGGATCATGGTTTCAAAATATTAATTTTACATATACTATACAAAAATATGTAGATGGGTATTGTGTCAGTTTTCCTGATAGTTTCTGAAGGTCAGAACAATATTCATTTTTAGAACTTCTCTACCTGCTTAAAATAATTTGCTCTTTTAAGGAACTCAAAGAAAACCTGTTATTTACAACAAAGTGACCAGAACCAAATGGGGTTTTTTTTGTTGGTAAAAAGAATAAACATATTAATTTTGAAAAGTAATACCTTTCTGTATAGTGTCCAATAAATTCTTGGCCTCTGTTAGTTAAATGTAATTAGAAGCCTTAAGTCCCCTTTAACAGTTGAATTTCATTGCATTTTATGTCCACCTACATTAAGAATTAATTCTTTGGCTTGACACCAATGCTAAACTTGCTTATCCAAACAAAAGCCAGGCCAAGGGTTTGAAGGATGATGATGGTAATTAACCCAAATCATACACCAGGAGCTATTCCAAAGTGTCTGTAAAACAGTATATCTTTCTATGAGGCTGAACCTGATCCTACAAAGAGTATGTACCACAACCTCCCACATTATGATTCTGTATTTTAGTGCCAGAGGCAGTTAGGGAAGAACTACCAGGCTAGTCAAATATTGCCTTTCTTATTCCAATAAATAAAACAGGAAACATGAAGAAATGGGAACTTCTCTTGATTTGCTATTGAGCACTATTTCTAAGGGTTAATTTGATAGTAGGTACATCAAATGACAGTGTTTGCATACCCATGCTCCTGTGTATTAGAATTTATTACAAGGAACAAAATTCCTCCCTTCACATTTTAAGAATTAAAGTTAATGACATTGGTTCAGTTTTACAGAGAGATCTGAAAAAATCATAAAAGCAATAATTAATGCAGGAAAAAACTGTAACCAATATAAGTACTAACTTTGTTAAACCATATTATGCTAATATAATAAATACTATGTTATATGGTATAATGCTGTCTTATAATAAAATATAACTGTTAAAGAAAAATATTTGATAGCATTACACATTGAATTGCAAAGAACATGCATAAAATTTTAAAAACATTAAAGACCAGCTATAGGACATTTTTACTATCATAACATACATAGAAAAAAGGCAATATTCACAAGCATGCTAGCACAGATTATCTTAAACATAAGAATATGAATAATTTTTCATTTTTTCCTCTGACATATGGATCTGGAACTCAGAGAAGAGTTATGGAGTAGAGATACCAACTTGAGAGTCTTCCACAGAGAAAGCAATTATTGAAACTGAGAGTGAACTGAGAGTGAACTAAGAGTGCTCAGGAAGTAGTGAAGCAACCAAAGGAAATGATGAATTTAGCTCTGGGAAGCATAAATGTTGAAAAGAAAAGAGAAAAGGGGCTTAATAGAAAACTAGTGAAGGACTAGAGCTGAGGGAGGGAAATATGGAAGTGTGGTAGTAAAAGGAAGAAAATGAAAAATCCCCTAAACAAGGGAGTGGTCAATAATATTCAATGTCATGGCAAGTTTAAGTGAAATTCTCGAAGTATCCAACGGACTCTTTAATTTTCAAAAGTATCCAATATCTGTAACAAAGTAGATTGTTGGCATCCTTGATGAAAATAATTTTAGCCAGATGCCAGTTTGTGGATGAAAAAGTGACTTAGCAGAAAAATTGTAACAAAAGGGAGGCAAGAAGTAGGATGGTAATCAAAAGAGGCAAAAAGTTGGGAGTGCATTATTTTTGTGATGATGGTATTGGTTTTAAAATGAGAAGAATTTGTTATCTGTGGGCTTATAGGAAATAATAAGTAGAAAGGAGTGTTAAGATTTTGAATAGAGAATATCCAGTGTTTTCCAACTTGCCTTGAGAATCTCTTTGATCACTTGATTAAATGATATATGTCTAGAGCAGAACTATTATAATGTGTGTTTTTAACAAGCACAATAAAGGAACTCATTCGCAAGAAATTATAAAAATACTAAAATGAACAAATGTTTTTTTAGAAAGGAAAACAGACCAGGATTCAGATCAAAGGGTTAGCCTTAGATCCAAGGAAGGAACAAAGTATGTTGTGGGAGAGGATTAGAAACGAACGATTGGTAATGCATGTAAATATAAAGGTTTGGCAATTGTAGTTTCCTATTTTCTTCATGAGGACGATGTGAGACCCATTTTGAAAGTGATGCAAAGATTTTCAAACACCATTAAAGCCCATATAGAAGAAGATATTATTTTTTTGCAGAACAAACTTGCAGGAGTGCATGATTTTTTTGGAGCAGCATTCTATGATAGTAATTGTGACCAAGATTGACATGAAAGTCCTAACAGGGAGTTTTACTGGAAGGAAAACAAGACCTGAGAGTATAGGATATTGCCACAGTCTGGATAAAATAATAAACGTGGATGATAGGCTGGATAATGAAGGGAATAGAGAGTGGTGCATAGGTTTTTCTTTGAGGAATATGAAAGAATCAATGCTAAAATCGGGAAACTCTCAGGTAAGCTAGGGTCAATGATCATCCAAGGAGTCAAAGATGATACATAGTTGTATTGGGAACTAGGAAACTAGATGGAATAAAAACTAAATATAGTGGCAGTAGCTGAATTTGCTACTTAGAAATATAAGAGTTTGCAACCAGAGTTTGAAATACTTAGAGATGGGTTTGCAGAGATGAGTTAGTTCTAGGTAATAGGATTCATCATTTAAGGTCATGAAAGTTAATGGACAATGTAGAATGCAGGTAATAGATCTGAAACTACGAACGTCATGAAGTTAGGAAGAGCTTTAATTTAGTATAGTTGTCCATGGAAGCTACGACTTTAACCAGGATAGTGGTACAAGAATGAGGGAAGAATGTACTTGAAATTCCTGATATTCCAAGAAGTGAGTAGATGAAAGAGGTCGAGTGCAATATAGCCAGATGGCATTAGCTTAATGATCCAGGGACTTGGTTCAAATTTGAAAAATAATTATTTAGAAGCAGTGAAAATTTAGATGACATTTCCTGAACTTATATTTTTTGAGGTAGGAGAGAATAAACAGTTTCCCTTTAATAAGAATGAAGGAGAAATATCATCAGGAGAAGCCAAGTTGCTACCAAAGTTAAGAAGGAGAGGAACATGTTATAAATCTGCTGACAGTATATAACTAGTTTTTTACATGTTTGATTTACCTAAAACCTAAAAAGTAAACATTGTCTTTTTTATCAGGCCTTCATTTGATCAAAGAAATTATTTCTCAATGAAAAAAGAAAAGATCCCTGTTGGTGGGGTAAGGACCAAAAAGAATTGATATTTGCAATTAACTACCCAAATATAAAAGATTATACTGCATTATTAAGTAAATATCATAGTTTCTTGTTTAACTTGAGAAGGGTGCATGTAATAGTTGAAGAAATTAAATTAAATGGAATTGTATATTATACTGGTGTTTTGTCAGGATTACATTTTTTGTAGTAATGTATGTTCTGTTTTACTAATGACAGTAACTTCTACTAACTGACCACTTTTAAAGGCTAACTGCTATGCTTCAAACTTTACATGTATTTTAATATACTTTCTGTTCTTATTCCAATTTGTTAGTAATCTGATGGTGAATAACTTGGTTACAAAACTAATGAAATGTCAGTTAGCTTGTTTATACAGCTTTGAGGTTCTATGTCAGACTGTTTAATGAGTAATAATCACAAACAAGTAATGAAGTGACATTTGGAAGTGGCTAACGTTTTAGTATTCCTTGGTAATCTAATTTTAGACCAATTTTGCTTTCAGGTGAAGTTCTCAATAATTCTGAAGTACCTTCAAGCCTTTGGTTGGCCCTGGGTATGGCTAGTTGTGGCTACTTACCTAGGACAGAATTTGGTGAGCATTGGACAGAATCTGTGGCTTAGTGCCTGGGCAAGAGAAGCAAAACACTGGAATGAATTTACAGAATGGAAGCAAATAAGAAACAATAAACTTAATACCTATGGATTATTGGGATTAGTACAAGGTAAAAACATTGTTCATCTGCTTTTCTTTTTCTTTCATTCTGACCTAATTGATTTAAACATAAGAATATGAGTTTCTTCATGTTATTGAACTAAAATCTGTGCCATAACTTCCAATATTGGGGAAGAATTCAAATGCATATTTTCACTTTACCATATTTGAGAGAGTAAATCAAAACTTGTACTTGTCCACTACATGGCCCACAATGAATAGTTTCATATTTGTTTCATTTAATATTGACCACAATTATTCAAAAACATACTGTTGCCACCATTTTACAGCTGAGAACACTGAGGCTTGTGCAACATTTGTGATACATAGCCACTCCATATTAGTGAAGACTGAGAGCGACATTGGATATCAGTAGATGAGTGTGAAGGAGTTTAAAGCCTAATGGTCTGGGTGCATGATCAAACTCCATGGCATCCATTCCAATACTAATCCATGGGTATGCAGCAAAAGGATTTGGGGGTAGGGGAGAGAAATGACCTAAACATTGTATGCACATATGAATAAGAGATATAAAAAAAAAACACGATGAATGAGATAATGCACCAATGAATGAATGGATAGCAGTAACGAAGCTGAACAAAATGAATGGATAGGAAAGACATTGTAGTAGAAACATATCTAATAATTGAGGGTAAGAAGAGGATGTCTGTCAGTCATGATTTTGAGGTTTAGATTAGATAACTGGAAGTACAATGATGACCAATGTAAGGAAATAGGGAGGAAGCCTTAAATGGTAGAGCAAATGACTAATTCAGTTTTGTCTACATTTAATGTGTTGATACATTTTCCCCTATTTTCATCCACTAGGCAATTTTTAAAGATTCATGTTTGAAAATTTTAAAAGTAGTTTTCTCCATCTGGATGATTTCTAAGTCCTCTAAGATCTAACACTCTTTAGTTCTGAAACTTGGAATCATTCTATAGAGACAAAAAATGAAGCCCCAAAGTAGATGTGACATGTGAGTGAGGGTTAAGAGTCATGAGGGTGAGAGATTCTTTAGGAATACACAAATAGAGCCAATTAAGGGAATGGCTTCATAGAAGCTGACTGGAGATAAATTTATAGATAAAGCAACCACAATAAGGTGATTGCCTGCTCTATTTCTAGAAACCCACATGTTTTAGTTATATGTGAAATTGCCTGTTATTGACCATTTCTGATCTACAAAAGTCTAGATTCATGATTTAAAGCTGATTATTTTATTTAGCGTATATCTTAGTGTAAAATGTCTTACACTTGTCCAGCTTACTTAAATTTTCAGTTTTATCACTTGTAAAATTTAGGTATTGCCCACACAGATATTACTCCCATGAATAAATTATAAGTGTACAATATGTAAAAAGTGCTAGGCATAGAAGAGGAGTGTAATGTTAGCTATCATTTAACAGTGTAGAAAATAAGTAGTATTGGAAGTAAATTTTGGAGCTAGGATTTGAATCTATGCCTAACTCTCAAACCTATGTCCTTAACCAGTAAATTAGAATTTACTTAAAGCAGTAAAGATGCTTCATAAACACAAGGTTCTATATTTCAATAGGTTTGGGAAAGTGGGAACTGTGTTTTAATATGAGCCAGAAACCCTCTTTCATTAAAGGATTTTAGATATTCTACAATAGACTGACCTGTTTAATTCTGTTTAACCCATAATTTCCAATCCATTTGACCATGGACATTTTTGTATTATCTTTCCCATCAACATATTGAGAAAATCTTGTTCTATATAATATACTTTGCAAAAACCTCATGCTATGATACATTGCCTTAAAAGTCAGGTAGAAAATTATTATATAACAAAAACAAAGATTAAACTAAATAAATGCTTCTGTTCCAAGAATATTCTCAATGGTTCTGAAAAACTTCACTTATGTTAGAAAATTGAGAAAAGGCCCATGATTATAATGAAGGAAACATCGTAAAGAATGAAAGGAGAAAAGAATACAACTCATAGGAAAGTGTGTAATGGCTTGAGAATCAAGGAGTTGATTTTATGTGTGTGTGTGTGTGTGTGTGTGTGTGTTACGTGTATGTGTATACAATCCTTCAAATGTCAGGAGAGTTGAAAAACAGAAAGGATACATAAAAGTATGTTGCAATTAAAGGGGAAAATTTTAAATATATATAATTTGTTGCATTTATAAGAAGAATGAAAGGCAATTTGAGGAAGAGTGATAGTGAATGCAATAAGAAAATAACAGCCATCTACGTGAATGTTGTGGTACTTAAGTATTAATGAGAAACAGAGCTATATGTGTAGTGTAGTGTAGTGAGGGAGAATTTTCTATCCTTTCTTTTAGGATTTCTTTTCAGTTAGTCATGAGAGTTAATTAATATACAACATATCAGCAGGGGAAAAAAGCGTATAAACTTATTTAATAGAAGTTTTGGTGGAATGGGAGCCTTAATAAAGAAATGAAGACTCAAAGAAGCAGTTAGAGTGAAGCACTTATACACTGAATTGGACAAAAATAGTGAAGGTTTTATGTGAGGAGACATAAAGACAACAGTTGTTTTAACAGGTCTGTATAGAATTCTCTTGGTGTTGCCTTCCTGTCTTTGAGGATAAGAAAAGATTTTTCCTTCTGGTGTGAGAAGGGCATTTTTCACATGGGAACTCATCTACTGCTTTTAAGAAACAGGACAGTAAGATGACCTTCTTGCACCTGCTGTTTTTCTCAAGTGCCTTTAACTCAAACATGACAGAATTGCATGTTTTTAACTTCTTGGCATGTCTTTGGTGACAGAATATTAAGATATAATAAAAAATACAGAACCTAGTAGGAGCCTTGCTTCTCTTTTCTCCTCTTTCATTTTTATTGATTGTCCATAGTATCACTGATAAGTATCTCTATATGAACATTAACAAATATTGTAAGATATGTGTGTTTGTCCTATCATTCTTTTAGTATTCATTGGAGGAAAAGATGTTATGTTAATGATTAACATGAAATATAAGGATATCTATAGTATAAAAATTGGGTTACAGAGGTATTTGGTTTTGAGTCAGTAGTCAAGTTTATTCACTTGAAGTTTTGTAAGTCTATGAGGAAAAATGTAAATATAGTGGTCTAGAATGTTTAGCAGCGAAAGAAACACCCATCTGTGTATAGATCTCTATGTATGTGCCTGTCACATACACTTTTGATAATAAATTCATACCAATCCAGTTAATCATTTTATGGTTTGGGACAGAGTGGATGTCTTTTGAAGAACATTTTAAGTGAGTAGATTATATTTCCTATATAACACAAGGTATGCAAGTCTAGCTTTAGAATATTACTTATGTAAAACCTTATGAACTATCAGAAAATATAGGAATTATTTTGTGACAAAGGCAATATGTTATGACTTTAATCAGTTGAATATAAAGAATACCTCCTGATTGGCTGACTTTTCATTCAGATTTGTCTGTAGCCATTCAAACATAAATATTTTCTATTTTCTTTCTTATTTTTAATTTCTACATTTAAAAATATATTTTTTTCTCAAGGCTTATTATTAACTTATAAATTGTAGTGGCAAATGACAAATAAGTTAAGTGAGTTTATAAAATGAAAAACTTTAATTTCTCATGTTTTTCCAAGACTGCAACTCTTATGAGACTGTCCAATTAAAAGCAGGCTGTACTTATTAACATCATCTTTGGTTTCCCCCCTCATTTTTTGAACTTTAAAGCATAACTAGCACTCTCACATGTTAATACTAGAGGCCTGATATGAATAATAGAGAAGACTAGCATTCAAACAAAATTAGAATACTGAAGCAAAAAAATTTACATGTATATTTTACAACAATAAAGATCTTACCTTAGTTTCTAAATGAAGAGATAACCCTGGACATTTTTCCTTGGGTCTCAGCTACTTGATGTTGAGTCTCCAGAATACTACACAAGAAGCACTTTATGCTTCCCATTAGAAACTTTCCTTCTCCAACCCAATGTGTAAAATATAGCCACCTCATTTTTCAAGTGTAATGCTTAAAGAGTGTACTGCTGCTTTCAGCTTAAAATGACTGGATCATTTACTTTACTTACCACATGGAATTCCACTGAGACAACAGTGAATAAATATGAAAGGAAAGGCTTTAGAGGATTTCAGAGTAATAAATTTCTACATAAGCAATTATATAGCTAGAATATCAAGGGTAGAAGAATCTATAGCCAGTAACAAATACCGAAGAAGTTGTAACTTAAAAAGGAGATGCTTAGTCGAGCCATGGAAAAATGTTAAATTCATGGTCACAGTTACCGAGTGTGGAATTTAGTGGCATGGAAGTTATCCAAGTAATTCCCTAGAGCATTGTTCTGCTAGCCTGTTAGCCTCTCCTACAACTCCCACTACCACCAATGTATACAGCTCCTGGCATACCAGCAGTGCAGTGAAAACTAGAACAATGACATCCGAAGAGGAAATTAGAGTTTCCAGTGTGCATGACAACCAGCAGAAAGTCTTCTTAGTGTGGCTTTTGGAGAAGCATCAGCCTGCAAGTCTGATTACAGTAGGAAGAATTTCAGTGTCATATGTTCTTACTTAAGTGGAACTTGAAGCAATCCCTACCATTTAAGGGAGAGAAATGTGTGGAGAAATCAGTGAATGCAATGTCATAATATAGTCATACCAAATACAAAAACAGATCTTTTTTACAGTACTGGGGATTAATCTCAGGGCCTCAATTTTGCTAGCAAGTTCTCTACTACTTGAGCCATGCTCCCAATGCTTTTTATTTTAGTTTATTTATCAGATAGGATTTCAGGCTGACTTTGCCAGAGTTGGCCTTGGACCATGATCCTCCTACCTCTGCCTACTGAATAGCAGAGGTTACAAGCACGTTCCTCCATGCCTAGTTCAGATACCTATGTTAGTGAACTATGTGTCTCCCTCATATTTTTAAATTGATAATAGTGGGCAATTATATATTATAATCAAACTAACATTATAAATAAGAGCCAATAAACAGAGCGGCTGATCTTGGAAATAAGACAGTCACAATGGAATAGAAGGAAAACTTTTGAAAAGGTCTACTTAGGATTTTCAAATATTCAAATTATTACATCCATAAGGTGAGTGCAGAATGCTCAGAAATAAAGAACAGAGAGCTCTTAAACAGTTTCAAGAATTTGTAAATATTGTTTAAGAATAAGAAAATAACCTAGAAAATGTATACTATGTCCCAAATGTGCAGTATCAAAAAGAGATGGAAAATGATGGAACAAATTGGAATCTCAATACAGTAAATTCAAGATGTGTATAGAAAGAGTTTCAGTGAAACAGAAAATTATCAACTGCATAATATTCTAAAACACTTCCCATAACTGAAGAAAACAAATGCCAATTCCAGCAATTATTCTAGAGTAGAAAGACAAGGATTAGATTCCAAAATCATACTTTGCATTGCAGAAGATAAGGAGCTAAATAGAACGAATGAAATAATGCAGTATCTGACAATTTTGAATACATTTAAAAGAGATTTGCTGGCTATTGACGTGACTTGGAATAACTCAGTACTAGTTGCATAGACAACTAAGCATATAGAAAAATACTTGCACAAGTACTAGACATTTATTGAAGTGCATGAATAATATGTGTTTAATAGTTATGCAAACCCTGAATATTTACTTGAGAAAAGGGTAACAAGCTATTTTGGAAGGGAAAGAAGGAACTATGAAAGAGGAAGTTAGAAAAATTATACAAAATATTTGAAACAGAAATCAATGCTTGGAAGTATGTGATACTGTTTAAAATATAAAGAAACCAGCTAAAAGAATTTAAGGTACTGAGAGCCAAGTATTTTTATTTTATTTTGGTTTAAACATGACACTTATAAAAGATGGAGGATAATATTGGCAGTAAGTTTTAGGAGTGCAAAGGGGCAATTGTGTACCCATAAAGATTAAAGAGCAAACATGAAGATCTGTTCTCACTGAAAATGAAAAGCATAGATCTTCAAATACATTTCATCCAGAGACTCAAAAAAATGCCCATAACTCTCTTACTGTATCAGTGCCATTTATTTTCCTCATTGGTTTCATACGGGTTTTACATGGTAATGGAAATCTGTCTTTGAAATAACTTCTTCCTTAGAAATCCAGGAAATTTCTCTGCTTGAAACAACTTGGGTCGTATATCCATTCTTGAATCAATCATTATACCAAAACATTTTTTTTCTAGACCTATTAGTTCCTCTCTTTGTGGACATTTTCCTTCTATTTCTTCTTATACCTTAGATAGCTCTTTTCTAAATTTGTCTTTTGCTGTATTTTATCAAATGCAACAGCAATGTGTGCTAATAAAATAACTGTTTTCTAATCTCTGCCGTTAAAACTACAAGTTTATTGTATATCTTATCTGACTTTTTAGTCTGTAAAAACAACCCTCCCACCAGCGAAATCTCAGTAACTTTCTATACTAAAAACTTTTTTTTCACTCATACCCTGTGTCCACTTATGGTCAGGAAAGGGACTTTTCTTATTTTAGGGATTCAAAATGAAGGAACAATTTAATCACCATTTAAATGTTGGCAAGCACACTGTAAAGTAAATAGGAGCTATAACAGATCTAGCATAAGCAATTACATTCTCTAACCTGGAAGAAGCCTGTTGTTTTTCTCTCAATTCCTTATTCAGAACTATGCATTTGTTCTCTTCAATCACAACCAAACCAGAGAGTATAACTGCATCATGCCCCTAGAAGCTGAAAGAAATTGGAAGTATTTAGCTAACAGCACTAGTGACTACCACACTGTCCCAAAGGACATTATAAAGTTAATATGCTTCAATTCTGAGAACCACATTGATTGCTTATCTTCTGTGCATTCCTATACAGAACTTATCACCTTGAATAAGGAGACTTCTACTTTGATGGCATGACAAACCATCAGAAAAGTCTGTCTCCAAGGCAACATAGACATACACGACATTTGTCCACAATTACACATTTTAACCAAACTTGGATTTTCAACTTTTAAAAATGCTACTACAAGCAGTATTTTGAGTTAAAACACAAAACTCCTTAAAAATGTGAACATGACCCTGATAACAATTTGTGTTTAGGTCTCTTTGTCTGCTGTGGAGCCTACCTGCTCACTAGAGGATCACTGGCTGCCTCCCGAACCTTGTATGCTCAGCTGTTGAATAGTGTTCTTCACCTTCCACTCCAGTATTTTGAAACAAATCCCATAGGACAGATCATCAATCGGTTCACCAAGGTAAGGGAAAACTAACCTTATTAAATAGCATACCTAAAATGGGTAATATATATGTAGCTCCTTGTATTCTCATTTATAAAAGTATCATTATTAAATTAATAAGTCAAGGGACATTTATATGTGATATATGAATGTCACATCTTAAGCATATAAACAAAAGAATATAAAAACTGCTTAAATAATTCAAGCACATATTCTTTGATAGCTCTACAACATGAAGTTAGTTTGAAAATCACTGATTTATGCTAATAAAGGGAAAGAAAACATAGGTCTGTTTGAATATATCTGGCCTTTATGACTTTTTGCTGGGCAGTACTGGGGTTTGAACTCAGGGTCTTGTACTTGCTAAGCAGGTACTCTACCACTTGAGCCATACCTCCAGCCTATTTTATCAGGACTTTAAAAAGTATTCTCCCTTTAAGAAAATTTAGTGAATCGCATATGGTGGATAGGAAATGGATTTTCAGTGTCACTGCTTGCCTAGAAGGGTTTCTTCCTTGTGTTTACTATTGTGGATACTATTACATATATTTGCACTATCCAACAGATAGAATTCAAAACAATAACATAATTTTAAGTTTTAAATGTTCTAGTAACCACAATAAAAAGCAAAAAGAAGCAGTCAGCATAATTAGTTATAATAATATATTTAATTTAACACAGTATATCCAAAATTATTCCCAACTATAATCATATAAAATTAAATAATTAAAAATGATTTACATTCTTCAAAATCTAGTTTATATTACACACTTGTAACCCATCTCAGTTTGCAGTAGCCATTGTTCAAGTCCTCAGTAGACAAATGTTGCCAATGGTTTCTGTATTAGTGCAGTCCTGTTACCTTGAAATACATTCATAGAGTTATATGTATTTAAAAAATAATTTGATGTGATTATGAGGGGAACAGGATACAAATCATGAAAACAGGTAGTATGATATATATTGATATAATTCAGTCTTGCTTAGTTATTCCAGTCTGCCTACTATTCTTTGCAAACTTGTAGAATTTGACCCAAAGCATTCTGTCACTCCTAGGTGACATTTCCTACTTGACTTTACTGAATAATTGTCATTTTTGAATAGTAAAACTTCAAAAGATTAGGTCTTGTGCAGATGGGAGTATTGGAAGATTAATTCTAAAGGCAGGTAAGAAGTTGCATAGGAATACTGCTTGTTATAGGAAATAATCAGGAATATTCCAGAACAACAACAAATGAATAAAATTCCACCTCTAGTCTTGTACCTTATTCTTGTATCTCTTAGGTCAGACTTAGCACCACAAATATAAATTAAAGTATATGAAAATATGTGAATTTATATATGACTTTCCCATCTTCTTCTCATTTGTGTTGCCCACCTCCATGCTTTAGTTTCACATTTTGCAAAGGAAGGTTATTTTGTTTTCCTGCCTCTTCTGATATAGGTGGAATCTAGATACTCTAGAAGGCCACTGGGTATGTTGTTAGGGATAACAATGTCCCTTGAGTGTTTTACAATTTTTTGAGTAGCAGACAGCGGTAGCTCAATGCCACAAATACTGGATTTTGAAAAACCCAGCAATTAAAGTCCTAGGTTTTGCACTGTTTTGGTTTTTTTTTTTTAATGTCAGGACCTGACTTTAATGGTATAATTAATTGCTATGTCAATGTCACTTGTAATAAATTTCTTGATAGTAGGAATCTTTTTACTAGAATATCCTTTTAATTATTACAATTGACTACACAGTAACAATTTATGAGGTAGGCAAAGAGCATGCAGTTAATTATTTAATCTCGGATTGCCACATCTGGATAAATGCTTTTTCATTTTTCCATTAAGTGATATATTTCTTCTTCCTCTGATTCTAAACCATGAGAAGTTAACAATAAAGTGACCTAATATCAAATTTTCAGGATATGTTTATAGTTGATATCCGTTTTCATTATTATTTACGGACCTGGTTGAATTGTACATTGGAGGCTATCGGAACAGTTTTGGTCATTATGGGAGCTTTACCACTCTTCACTCTGGGGGTTCTTCCCTTGATTTTCTTCTATTTCACTATACAAGTAAGTACTTGAATTTTTATTTGCATAAATAATTTATAAGTCTACAGTCAAAAATAATTTATATCCATTTAAACTTTCTGTTATTCCAAGTTCTACAAGCAGCAGAGTCCAAGAAAGGGTGAGGCACACTAGAAATTTACCATAGGACATGCATGTGAAAGATGAAGGAGAAGCATCAGGAGAAAATTGGACAAGGAGCGCCCTCAGACAGTGATGCAGTCTGGGAGGGAGGGAGTCTGGGAGAGACTCTTTTCCTTGTTAGAGAGAAGAAGGAAGAAGGCTTGGGTAGGAAATACCAGAGACTGTAGAGCATATCCATAAAAGGTATGAGCAAATCAAAGGAAAGACCTCAACCATAGTTGCTCATTGGAAGGTCCCTTTATTTCCCTAGAATGGGTAGAGTAACCCATGTAAAAAGTGGCCTCCATTCTCACACTGTAACAGATCCTGAGGGACAACAGCTGACATTCAGTCACCTATGCCTCTGCAGCAAGAGAGCTGGGTCCTTCATTTTTGTGGCTGCCAAAAAGCCTGTATGCTGTCTATGTTTTAGCAGAAAATTAATTTGCCTACATATCCAATACGGAAACAGATATTACCTTTTTGACTCTTTATCCCTAATATCAGCAAACTTTTCCTGAAAGACCTAAATTCATTTCTCATGATACTTGATGTTGATATCTTTACTTTAAACTGTAGCCAATCAATTTGAACTCCAAAATTATGCTAAATGTAAGAATATTATAGAAAACAAAATTTCCTAATACATATTTTTAAATAAATATAAAAGTATTATGAATATATTTTCACAAAAGAGTATAGTCCTTGTAGCTGAATGTTTTCCAAAAACCAGTTTTTAAATTCATATTGAAATTTAGTCTGCTCAAGATAAATGTTAATCATTTTCTCATTTCTGTACATATGCTATTATTATTCCTCCTACTACATGTGTTTTTTCCATTCTCTCTGTCTGTCTAGATATCACTTATGCTTTTAGGCTTAGGCTATATTCCATTTTATGCATGAATCATTCTCTACCAAAATAGTGCAAAGAGATCTGATTCACCCATGGGTTATATGGGATGTATTATATTGCAAATGTTAAGATGAGATATTTTTAGAAGGATTTGAGGTGTCTCAAGAGATAGAGCACATGCTTTGCAAGCATGAAGCCCTGAGTTCAAACCCCAGTTCCACAAAAAAAGATATTTTTAGGAGACCATAAATTGTCTCTTAAATGAGATTGTATGATTTAGGGGCAGAGACCATGTCTCATATAAATCTAGAAACAGAAGAATAGTATTGAAAAATAATATTACAATTGAAATTTTATGCGTTAAAATCTCATGGTTGGTATTCTACAACAGAGTGACTACAAGTAAAAACATAGTCTAGAAACTATGACCTGTTAGGGAAGTTGAATAAGTAAGGCCTGAATTTGGATTCAGGAACCTTGAGTTCTTGTCACCTTCCTGATTCCTGTGCTAGGCACTTTTTTTTTTCTGGTCTCAATTTCTTTCTCTTATGAAATAAAAGATTTAACTCAGACATATGTTATTCAAAGTGTGGTTATGGGCCATTCCACAGTCCTACTGAATCAGAGTACCTCAGTGTGGGGCCCAGAAGTCTGCATTTTAACAAACTCCAGTTTATTCCTATTACAGGAAACATTGATCTAGATTACAGGTTATCAAGCTAAGTTACATGGAGCATTTCATGGAAGGAGTCCATGGCTTCTACCTTTCACTGAAATTATATTAGAATGTATAGCATTCATACATACCTTTACCTGGGGAAAAATTTCTTGCCCTTAATCAGCTACTTAAAATATCACCCCTACCCTAGACAACCTGTTAAATCCCTTACAGCCCACCAAATGTGATAAGCTTTTATATTCTCCATAGCACTTAGCATGGAGCAGACCTTCGTAAACTACAAGTTAACAGGCTGTATATGGCTTCATACATGTTTGTTAGCTTGCTCATCATTTTTAACAAAATGATACCATTTCAAAATCAGTGACTTTACATAAATTTCCTGATCAGGTAATTCTCTTGAAAATTTTGCAATATCTAATGAACTTTGATATTCATTTCCAGTTGGTCACAATATTCCAGTGCTAATTAATGATGGTTCAATTAACTCAGGGCATACCTCTCCAGCTCTTCACAGTTTTGGCAATCCCAGTTATACTTAAGCAGAGGCCAAGGGCAAGTAGCCAAATTGTAATTGTTGCTGCACTCATGTTTTTTGTGGAGAAAAACTCTATTTCTCTAATTACTCTTAGATTTAATGGGTTAACTGTACAGAGTTTTTTTGATAGTAGGTACTCAATAGTGGTCATTTGAAAGCACTATCAAAGTATAATTTTGTGAATTATGCTCTAGTCATACTGTCCAGAATTTGGACTTTTTACTATTACAGAAGAGCATTAGTTTCCTAAGGCTTCTGTAAAAAAGTACCACAGAAATGTATCCAGTCACAGTGCTACAGGCCAGGAGTCCAATATTGCCATGTCAGCAAGTTGGCTTCTTCTGGAAGCTTTTTATAAGAATCTGTCTCAGGTTCCTCCTAGCTTTTGTTGGCCATTGTCAATCTCTGACCTTTTCCTTGGCTTGTAGACAGATCACTCTGATCTTTGTCACCATCCTCATGTGATATTCTTTCTGTATTTGTGCCTATTTTACTATCTCCTAAAGACACTCAACATTCAACATTCAACATTCAACATCTGCAGAGATCCTTTTCCAAATAAACTCGCATTCATGGGTGCCAGAAGTTAGAAAGAACTTGTACCTAACTTGTTGTTGGTGTTGGGGGGAGGGGTCACTCTTTTTCTCTCCCTCATTTTATACTAGCATATATTAATTGCACAAAGGGATTTTGTGATATTTCCATACATGCATATAATGTACTTTGATCAAATTCACCCTCTCTATTGCTCTTCCTTATTATCCCTCAGAGGGGGGTCACTTTTTAATTCATTATACAAAGATCTTGCCTTTATTCAGCCATTGAGGATATTTCTGATACATCTTTCCAATTACCTCTTTCTGTCTTCTAATTAGCGATATTACATGGCAAGCTCTCGACAGATCCGGAGGTTGTCAGGAGCGTCCCGTTCTCCTGTCATTTCCCACTTTAGTGAGACTTTATCAGGAGTGTCCACTATTAGAGCATTTGGACATGAACAGAGGTTCATTCAGCAAAATAAAGAAGTGGTGAATGAGAATTTGGTCTGCTTCTATAATAATATAATTTCAAACAGGTAAGTCATAGCAATACGCAAAGCTTAGGGTTAGTTCCTTCTTAGATGTTTTGTTCAATTCTTTTAAACAAAAGAGGGCTTTGTAATGGCCTTTCATCAATTAAAACTACATAAAATATTAAAGTCTTGAATATTTTCTAGTATTTTATACAGATTTAAGTTAAATGAACACAAAAACACACACTATATAAAAATAAGATACCAAGTTTACTGAAGGATGTATAGAATGCTATTAGAACTACTAGTTACATGACTCTGTAGCATCTTATATTTGTAGAATGTATTTTGATTACATACACTTTTTGTAACACTTCATTTGAAGTTATAATCTCATGTAAAGGAGGAAAATGTAAAATATTAAATAGTAGTTGGGCACAATTTAGTTTTTAGAAAGTCATTTCATCACTAATATGCAATGTATCTAATCTTATAGCATAGATAACTGAAGAAGTAATGTTTTTCCAATAGGATTTTTAAATGCAATATATAATTATATTAACTGTTCTTTAATTCTGATTTAATTTTAAAGCAAATTTCTGCAAAGACAAAGTGCATTTTTGTGTAGAGGTATCTTTTAAAGTTGTTACTGTGACAATCTTGTATTTGATTGAATTCCAAGTAATTGTGGGAAGGCGCATGAACAGAAAGAACCTCATGATGTTTACTTCTCAGTTTCTCAGGGGACAGTACTAAGTACGACAAAACTTTTGCGTCTAAGTTAGTCAGGAATATATTCTATTTATTACAGGTGGCTGTCTGTCAGACTGGAATTTCTTGGCAACTTAATGGTGTTCTTTGCTGCAATGCTTGCTGCGCTGGCTGGCAATTCCATAGATTCAGCAATAGTTGGTTTGTCTATATCTTATGCCCTAAATGTAAGTAATAGTTATATTACGGTACATGGTATGTTTATAACCCAGTTAATTAAGCACTGTACTCCTTTGTCCATCTGAATTATAGATTGTATTAAACTAAGTAATGAGATACAAATCTGGATTGATGGAGGCTTATTTCTTCCTGTTTTTTGGTAGGAGCAGGAAGCTTGCTCAGCAATTTTAAGGTAACTTGTAGAGAGAATAGACTGATGCCCAAGGCTGAGCCCCAGAGGACCAGGAATCTCCTGGTGTTCCATGTCTGCTGAGACGTTTCCTGCTCCCGTATCCTTCTAGATTTATAAAGTGCTCCAGGTAGGGCCTTTCTCCACCATGGAAATGCAAGCTCTGAGTGGAGTACACACTGGTGCACTCCACTTATAAATTTTTCCCTAAATAAGCTCTATTTTATATTATACTGCAAAGCACTAGTGGTATAAGCATATTTATAAATGAGGAAACAACTCAAACTGTTTTATATAATTCCATATTATTTAGGAAATAAGTCTAGAGATTTAGTTATATACCTTGTTCTTTTGTCCAAAACTCCCAAGGCTGGCTGCATTTCATAATTCAGAATTTAGGCTTCTAGAAAAGGACTATGGTATATGTACATATGGAAGGACTTGGGCAGAATCTCATAATCAAACATGACTATCTCTGAGGTAAAACATATGAGTATATACTTTAGTCCTTTAAATAAATAACTTAAAAAGCCCCACATCTATTTCAGGTGGGCTATCAAATGGGTTGGCATCAAACTTAAGAAAAATCTTAATTTTCAAAGTGTTTTGGCTAAAATTACATTTTAAGCTATAATCTTGAAGAACCTACATTGTGGGTAGGGTTAAAAGAAGCTAGTGTTTATTTCTAAAAAAGAGAAGTGAAGGAAGAAAGGAGGGAAGGAAGGAGAAAGGGAGGGAGGGAAGGAAGGAAGGAGGGAAGGAAAGAAGGAAGGAAGGAATTAAGGAAGAAAGGAAGGAAAGAGCTAAGAATAGTCAGAAAGTAAGGAGAATCTTTCTTTTCATGGAAGGTAAAGAAGAATGCCAAAGGGTTTTTGCAACTACTTTTTTTCTCATTTGGGGTATACATTTAGTGAGGCATAACCTTGCCATCTTGATATTCATCATTCCTTACAGAAATTATGACTTCCTTAATATCTATTGAACTATGGTAATTCTGTTTTCTAAGTATTTTCATTATATATTATACTGATAAGTCCAATATACATATGTGTATATATGTATAAATATGCATACTTCTAAAGTTGTTAAATAATCAAAAGAGATAAAGTGTTTGAAAACTCTGAAAATAAAAATGAAGTGTTATAATACATAAGTTGCAAAAGAGCATGAATTAAGTTTCTATTTCCATTTTCATTTTCTGCCTCCTCCCAGATTACTCAGTCTCTGAATTTTTGGGTAAGGAAAGCATGTGAAATTGAAACAAATGCAGTTTCTATTGAAAGAGTGTGTGAATATGAAGATATGGATAAAGAGGTAAGCAATCCTAAAAAACTAGTCAGTGGTTGGTCAATTAAAGTATTGTGATATATCTTCAACTGACATCTTAAAAAGTATATTTTAAACAAAATCTACATTTCTAAGTTCATGTCACAATATTTGACACTTCTAGAAATTAAAGTTATTATGAATGATCATTATTGTGTACATTACTGAAGAGTTAAAACTCTGGTAATTAAATTAGGATGCTCTGTAAATATATTTTAGTGAGTTAAAAAGTGAAATATGATAACCTGTTTTTAAAAGACATAATGATTTGTCCTCTACTGATATAAAGTAAAATATAAAATTTGTAATTATAAGTTGGGGGTATTTTGCATTGAGAAAAATGTCTTCTATAGTCTCTACATAATTATTTTGAGTCTGCACAGTTATTACATTAATTATATTTGTATTGCTTATGCTTTCTGTTCTATTTACCCATCACTAACAACTCTGTGAATGAGGAGGAGGAGGAGAAACCAACCTATTTTGCTCATTTTTATCAACTATAATTTGAAAGGGTAAAAAATTAGAGTATTTACAGTGTGTAATGGTTATGTTATCTACATATCTTGCTCACATGAGCTACTTCTGCCTCCAAGTTTCATTAAACAACAGGACAGATAGTAAAGATGACTTGAATTTCTGTACCTTTTCAATCCACCAAAGCAGTTAACTTTCTTCATTTGTTCACAAATCTTTTCCTTTTGCTCAGAACTCTAAAGAAGATATCTCCCAAAAAATCTGATATTAACAGTTGTGTCATTGGTCATATCTCTTCTTGTCTTCTCCCAAATCTTGCTTCTCTCACCATCCCTTTTTACATATTGTAATTTAATCAAATTAACCTCCTTTACCTTTTCTCCCTAACCCTTATTAGGGGTTAGAGAAACAACAGCTCAGTGTGTTTCAATATGCCTTCCTCCTACAAATGCAATGTATTTCAATATTTGTCACTCCTTATCATCCTCTTTTCCTTTCTGTCCTCTCCCTAGCCCCCTCAAACTGTCCACTATTGCAGACACATTCTATAAATATATGTATATGTGATCATGTCTGTATATATGTTCACACTCATATTTTGGATCTCTCTTCCACATATAAAAGAAAACATGCAATATTTGTCCTTCTGAACCCAGCTTACTTCACTTAACATGATGATCTCCAGTCTCATCCATTTACATGGCATCTGGACAGTTTCTAAAGCTTAGTTATTGTGAACAGTGCTGCAGTAAAGATGAGTATGTAACTGTCTTTATTGTTTCCTTTCATTCCCTTGTATGTATGCCCAGGAGTGGTGTCACTGGATCATATGAGAGTTCTGTTTTTAGTTTTTGAGGAACTTCCATAATTTACATTCCCACCAACAGTATATATGGTTCCTTTTCCCATATCCTCACCAGCACTTGTTGTTTGTATGCTTAATGATCGTCATTCTGACTATTGTGATATGATATTGTAATATAGTTTTGATTTGCATTTCTTTATAGCCAGGAATGTTGAGCATTTCTTCATGTATTAATCGGCCATTTATACTTCTTCCTTTGCAAAATTTTTGTTCAGTTCATTTGCCAATTTCTTCACTGGATCATTGATTTTTTGGGAGTTTAGTTTTTGAGCTCCCTATAAATTCTGGTTATTAATCACTGGTCAGATGTATAGCTGGCAGAGATTTTATGTCATTTTTGGGCTGTTTCTTCAGTATAATGACTGTTTCCTTTGCTATAGAGAAGCTTTTTAGTTTCATATGGTCCCGTTTGTCAATCCTTTTTCTTAGTTGCTGAGCTATTGGAGTTATATTCAGGAAGATATTGCATATGACTACACGTTTCAGTGTTTTCTCTATTCATTCCTGTAGTAGTTTCAAAGTTTTAAGTCTTATGTTAAGATCTTTGATCCATTGCTGGTTAGCACAAAGTGAAGAATTGCTGTTAGTACAAGGTGAAAGACAGGGACCTAGTTTCAGTCTTCTACATGCTGATACTCGGTTTTGTTAAAAACCAGATGGCTGTAGGTAAAAGTAATACAGAGCATAAAGAGAAACACTAGAGGTATCATAATATCTGACTTTAAGCTATACTATGCTTTTATTGCCATAGCAATAAAAGTAGCATACTAAGGCACAAAAACAGACATGAAGATCAATGTACCAGAGTAGAAGACTCAGATATAATCACCTCTCTTTTTTTTGTTTGAAGTGTTACTAAACTTATTTTCTTTCTTCCCTCCTTCCTTCCTTCCTTCCTTTCTTTCTTCTTTCTTTTATTGTTGTTCTGGGGGTACATTGTGACATTTACAAAAGCTCTTACAATATATCAAATGTATCATAGTTCAATTCATCCCCTCCACCACTCTCTTTTATCTTCCCCTCCCCCTCCATTCCCAGAATAGTTTCAACAGGTCTCATTTTTCCACTTACATATATGTGTACACCTCTTTTAATTCTTACATGATAGCATCCCTACCCCTTTGCTTTTCACAATGTATAAATGTGCTAAATTATTTTCTAGATCCTCCAGCTCCTAAAAGAACTTTGAATCTTCCTCTAGCTTATTTCCTAAGTCTTGCTTTTCCTTTTCCTACAAATTACATGACAGATTAATCTACCTTCATATTCTCCTCTCTCCAGTATTCACTTTGCTTATTCTGTCATCTGATAAATAATATAAATTTTTATTTTATTTTCAAAGTTTTTCTATTAACATATATTTCTTACATATAGGAAAAATACAAACAAAAACACTTATATGTAATTTGATATAATTTGTGACAAATACTGCTGCCAATACTCTTGATGTAGAAGATGTAAATTTATTCAGAAACTGTAGATCCCTATTTAAAAAAGAATTCTTTGGAAAGTTGCCAGCACTTGTCTCTAGTTCCTCTCATCTCACTCTTTTTTGGACCTTCTCCAAACAGGCCTTTGTTCCCACTACTCCTTTGATCCTGCCTTAACCTAGATCACACATGGTCCATATTCAGCCCTCACTTTACTTGAGGTACCATTTGACATTGGAATTGTTCTCTCCTATGAAACACTTCAGTTTGCTGACCAAGCACCACACTCTGCTGTGTGCTCTCCAGTATTCCAGGCTGGCCCCTGTCTGGTGTTACTGACACAAGTGGTTAATTTTTTCCCAGAATGCTCTTCTGCTAATATCTAAGAGACTTTTTCCTCCACCATGCTCAACAAAGTCTTTCCTAATGACACTGCTGAAAAAGACCCACTCCTCCACCAGCCTTGCCTATTTCTTGTTTTCTAAAGTTTTATCATCATCAAACATTCTACCTGTGTTGTGTTTCCTTCTGTCTCTCCCTGTTAGCATGTATACTCCACAAAGGGAAGATTGTAAGATCTGTTTTCCTCACTGATGAATTTCTAGCAGCTAAAACAGTGACTGGCATTGTAAATACTCAGTGTTTGGGGAAAGAATGAGTAACAAATTGTCCTCATTTCAGCTTCAATTTCAAGTTATTCGTGGCCCCTTTACAGAATTCTAGAGTTTTTCTTAGTTATTTGATAATAAATGGGTAGCTTTGTTATATCTAAAAATTTATTTCTAGGATTTTCTTGTAAGTAGATGGGAAGTTTTAGTTGGTATTATTTTAAAGTATTCTCAGAAAATCATAATATTACATATTTCTTTTGTCATTTTTATTTACTTTTGTTTATATGCATGAGAATTATTTGGAGGGAACACATGAAATTTTTATTGTAATTGGTGCATAAAAAATTTTTGTTTTGTTTTGAGGCACCTTGGATAATGTCTAGAAGGCCTCCATTACAATGGCCCAATAAAGGGATAGTGGAATTTATAAATTATCGGGCTCGATATCGAAATGATCTTCACTTTGCATTACAAGATATCACTTTCAAGACTCAAGGTGAAGAGAAGGTACAATATATACTTCATATGTTTTATTTCCCTTTTGTCTAAATGCATTCATTATTAAGTATAATATATAAGATGGTCTTTTTAAATTTTCACATAAAAGTAATAAAAATGTGGTCAATATGTAAAGAATATATTCCTTCTATAAAGAAAATATATTTTCAAATTGCTTATACACTATTGTGAAACATAATTTTATCATAATTTATTTTTGTTTCCTCTATAAAGCAAATTGAAACAGTAAGTGGCTACCAAAAAAATGGTAAGCCCATAATATGCAATATTTACATAACCAATAACATAATGTTTTCTCATGCCTGAGATGTAATTTTGTTTTTTAAAGAAGCTATATACAAAACTTTTGACATTATGATTTCAGTTAATGCAAATGAAGTAACACATTAACAAAAATACTAGGATAAGACTGGGTGAGGTGGAATACACTTAAAATCCCAACTACTTAGGAGACAGAGGTCGGAAGATTGCAGTCCAAGGCTACCCTAGGTAGAAGCACAGCCCTACCTGAAAAAAATAAAGCAAAAAAATGGTTGGGGCTGTAGCTCAAGTGGTAGAGTGCTTATTTAGCAAACACAAAACTGAGTTCAAACCCTACTACCACCAAAAAATAATCAAAAACAGAAAACAGACTCAAACAAAAACACTAGGATAGTTATCAATAACAATTCTCTTTTGGTGGTGAGATTTCAGATGATTTTTTTTACTTCTTTATTTTTCCTTCACATTTCAAAAATTTTTATGGAAACATTATTTTCATAATAAAAGGCATTTTACAAATAAATAAAATAAAATAATAGCAGAGCCTCACTTTTGCAGAACTCATGTCTTATAACCCCAATCATCTGTTGTTCTAACCATTTAAATCATGTGCTCACTGCCGTTGCATGGAAGACAAATATTTTTGAAATAAATAAAACCATTCTTTAATATTTGAACATCCCAATTAATTGCAGAGATTCCTGGTTTTTCCATGCATTTTTATCAGATTTCAGATTTAAAATCTTTTATTCAGGCAAAACAACTACATCAACTACTGTCTCTCCCTAATGTTCTTATTAACGCTAAGACATGAATCAGCAAACAAAATGGATTGCTTTTGTTTGTATGGACAAAGGAACTTGTCCAATCACTGGAATATTCATATGACAAGCTGACTGCACATGAAATACAAAAATTCTTAAACATTATTTGCAGCCCCTTTGCAAAATTTTAATGTGCAGTTATTTTGACACACCAGGGAAAGTTGCAGAGAACAGTTTGATTTTCTAGCCTATCTGGCAGAAGTTTCCATCCCCTTCATTTGTTTTCTTGCTTGTTGGGAGAAGGGAGGGGAGCAAAGATCTCACAAAAAGTTCCAGTAAAACCACCTCTTTCTCAGTGCTGTGTTGACTACACCTTTAATATTCAGGGATATTCAGGGGTAACCTACTCTTCCTGGGGCTCTCTACTTTGGTGCTTACTATATTACTCAGGTTTATAAGAGAAATATATTAATCAGAATGTTTCCAGTGAGTAAAGGGTATTCTGGATAAGAACTGATCTTTAGAAGACACATTGTATCTTCCATAACAGTCAAGGTTTGTCTCATTGGCAAAATTATATCCCATGGACCAGATGTATTCCTTGTCAGAGGAAAGGCTCTGTTCCCTTACAAAATGTACAGTGCAAAATGTTTGTGATCATTTCCTTACAGATTGGCATTGTGGGAAGGACTGGAGCAGGTAAATCAACACTATCAAATTGTTTATTTAGAATTGTGGAGAGGTCAGCAGGCAAAATTATTATTGATGGAGTTGACATATCCACTATTGGACTTCATGACCTTCGTGGCAAACTTAATATAATTCCACAGGTAGGACCTGTTCCCCAGTAGACTTTCCTAACTCACTGCAAGTGAATTTTTCTCTTTCTTCCTTCTTTCATTTTATGCATTCCTTCCAAGTGCATACATTCACTTTTGGAAGCTACATCATTTTACAATATATTATGAAAATTTTCTATGTAATTAAATCCTATTAAAGTCTTACTGTAAAGAATTCTTCTAAGAACATTTATCTATTTGAAAAATCAGTATATTGGTTTGAAGATTTCCTTCATAATATTACAAATGGAATTTGAGTGAACAGATAAGACCAAACAAACATCATAGGTATATTGTGGAAGAAAAAAAATATTGATGCCATTGTCTAGGTGATAGTCTGTATAGAATTTTGACTTTTTTGACATGAAATTCAGAAATGTTAAAAGTAAACATTTTTTATGAATAAAAGACATTTTAAAAAATTTCTTTTTAAAAGTAAACAGGAGATTCCATTATGGTGACTAGAGGGAGGAAGCAGAAAGCATGCTTCCTAAAGTAAACTCTTCGAGAGATGCTGGAGATACACCTGGCAAGAAAAACCACCAAGAAGAGGCAAAACTCCAACACCTCCACACCCCTAGCCCACACATAGCATCCCCACACCACATTAAACGGAGAAACCAGGAAGGCTCCTGTGCCGCCAGACTCCAGGTCCTAACCTGCTTGGGAGATGCAGACCACCAGATATCATCATTGTTACTGTTACAAGCTAGACAATACTGAATTACACACAGTCCAGGGACAGTAACAGTAGCAAGGGGAATGATGGCAAGATGGAAAAAAGAGGGAACCATTTTCCCCCCAATAATAAATTAGTACAGGAACCAGAGGGAAATGAAGAAAACAGATGCCCAGATCCAGACTTCAACAAAACGAAGATAAACTATGCCAAAGAACCCAATGAAGCCCACAAGAACAACCTGAAAGAAGAAATCCTGCAAGTAATCAATGAGAATTTTATGGAGATGATACTGGATATGGTCAACCAAAATGTACAGGAGACACTCAAGAAATTCCAAGACAACAAAAATAGAGAATTTGAGAAAGCACAAAACAAATACAAGAAACTATAAAAGCACTGTATAAACACCCAAAGGGAAACAAAGAACACAATAAATAAAGAGATAAGTGAACTCAGGATGAAAATAGACAATATTAAACTCCTAGAAAAACAAGAACAAGCAATTCCCAAATAAGAAGAAGGAGAGAAATAATAAAAATAAGGGCTGAAATCAATGAAATAGAAACCAAATAAAATAAAATAAAGAATCAATGAAACAAAAAGTTGGTTCTTTGAAAAAATAAGTAAGATTGACAGACTCCTGGCAAACCTGACTAAAATGAGGAGAAAAGAACCCAAATCAGTAAAATCAGAAATGCAAAAGGGGAGATAACAACAAATGCCCCAGAAATCCAGGAAATCATCAGAGACTACTTTGAGAACCTATATTCTAATAAATTTGAAAATCTTGAAGAAATGGACAGATTTCTAGACACTTATGATCATCCAAAACTGATCCAAGAGGATATTAATCACCTGAATAGATCTATAACATGAAATGAAATTGAAGCAGCAATCAAGAGTCTCCCAAAAAAGAAAAGTCCAGGACCTCATGGATTCTCTGCTGAATTCTATCAGACCTTTAAAGAAGAACTTATACCCAACCCTTCTTAAACTGTTCCATGAAATAGAAAGGGAAGGAAAGCTGCCAAACACATTTTATGAAGCCAGTATTACAATTATCCCAAAACCAGGAAAAGACACCTACAAAAAAGAGAACTATAGGACAATCTCCTTAATGAACATTGATGCAAAAATCCTCAACAAAATAATGGCAAACCAAATTCAACAACACATCAAAAAGATTATTCACCATGACCAAGTAGGCTTCATCCCAGGGATGCAGGGGTGGTTCAACATCTGTAAATCAATAAATGTAATAAACCACATTAACAGAAGCAAAGACAAAAACCACTTGATCATCTCAATAGATGCAGAAGAACCCTTTGATAAGATCCAACACCATTTCATGATAAAAGCTCTAAGAAAACTAGAAATAGAAGGAAAGTATCTCAATATTATAAAAGGTATATATGACAAACCTACAGCCAGTATTATACTTAACAGAGAAACACTGAAACCACTCCCTCTAAAATCAGGAACCAGACAAGGATGCCCACTATCTCCAATCCTATTCAACATAGTACTGGAATTCCTAGCCAGAGCAATTAGGCAAGAAGAAGGAATAAAAGGAATATGAATAGGTAAAGAAACTGTCAAAATGTCCCTATTTGCAGACAATATGATACTATACCTTAAAGACCCAAAAAACTCTACTCAAAAGCTCCTAGACACCATCAACAGCTATAGCAATATAGCAGGATATAAAATCAACATAGAAAAATCATTAGCATTTCTGTACACTAACAATGAGCAAACTGAAAAAGAATGTGTGAAAACAATTCCGTTTACAATAGCCTCAAAAAAAATCAAATACCTAGGTGTAAACCTAACAAAAGATGTGAATGACCTCTACAAGGAAAACTATAAACTCCTGAAGAAAGAGATTGAGGAAGACTAAAGAAAGTGGAGAGATCTCCCGTGTTCATGGATTGGTAGAATCAACATAGTAAATATGGCTATACTCCCAAAAGCAATCTACATGTTTAATGCAATTCCCATTAAAATCCCAATAACATTCATCAAAGAGATTGAAAAATCTACCATTAAATTCATTTGGAAACACAAGAGACCACGAATAGCCAAGGCAATACTCAGCAAAAAGAACAACGCTGGAGGTATCACAATACCCGACGTCAAACTATATTACAAAGCAATAACAATAAAGACAGCATGGTACTGGCACAAAAACAGACATGAAGGCCAGTGGAACAGAATAGAGGACCTGATATGAATCCACACAACTATAACCAACTTATCTTTGACAAAGGCGCTAAAAATATACGATGGAGAAATAGCAGCCTCTTCAACAAAAACTGCTGGTAAATCTAGTTAGCAGTCTGCAAAAAACTGAAACTAGATCCATGTTTATCACCTTATAAGATTATTAACTCAAAATGGATCAAGGACCTTAATATCAGACCACAAACTCTAAAGTTGGTACAGGAAAGAGTAGGAAATACTTTGGAACTAATAGTTATAGCAAGGACTTTCTCAGTGGAACCCCAGCAGCACAGCAACTAAGAGATAGCATAGACAAATGGGACCTCATAAAACTAAGAAGCTTCTGCTCAACAAAAGAAATGGTCTCCAAACTGAAGAGACCACCCACAGAGTGGGACAAAATATTTGTCAGCTACACATCAAAAAAAGAACTGATAACCAGAATATATAGGGAATACAAAACACTAAACTCTCCTGAAATTAATGAACCAATAAAAAAAATGGGCAACTGAACTAAACAGAAGTTTCTCAAAAGAAGAAATTCAAATGGCCAAAAAACACATGAAAAAATGCTTATCATCTCTAGCCATTAAGGAAATGCAAATCAAAACCACGCTAAGATTCCACCTCACCCCTGTTAGAATAGCCATCATTAGAAATACCACCCACAACAGGTGTTGGCGAGGATGCGGGGAAAAAGGAACCCTCTTACACTGCTGGTGGGAATGTAAACTAGTACAATCACTCTGGAAAAAAATATGGAGATTTCTTAAAAATCTAAACATAGATCTGGCATATGATCCAGCAATACCACTCTTGGGGATATACCCAAAGGAATGTGGCACAGGTTACTCCAAAAACACTTGCACACCCATGCTTATTGCAGCACTATTCACAATAGCCAAGTTATGAAAACAGCCAACATGCCCCACTATTGATGAATGGATTAAGAAAATGTGGTATTTATACACAATGGAATTTTACTCAGCCATGAAGAAGAATGAAATCTTATCATTTGCAGGTAAATGGATGGAACTGGAGAACATCATCCTGAGCAAGGTTAGCCAGGCCCAGAAGACCAAAAATCATATGTTCTCCCTCATATGCAGACTTTAGATCTAGGGCAAACACAACAAGGGGATTGGACTTTGATCACATGATGAAGCGAGAGCACTAAGGTAGGTATAAGGACAGGCAAGAAACCCAAAAGAAACAAAATAGCATTTGATGTCCTCAATGCAAAGGAACTAATGCAGAAACTTTAAAGCAACAGAGGCCAGTTGGAGAAGGGGACCAGGAACTAGAGAAAAGGTTAGTCCAAGAAGAATTACTTTAGAATGTAATACATATGACAGGAAAGCAATGCGAGTAAACTCCATGTATAGCTATCCTTATCTCAACTGGCAAAAACCCTTGGTCCTTCCTATTATTGCTTATACTCTCTCTTCAATGAAATTAGAGATAAGGGCAAAATAGTTTCTGCCTGGTAGTGAAGGGGTTGGGGGAAGAGGGAGGGGTTGTGGGGGTAGGGGAGGTAGTGTGGGGAAGGGACGGGTCAGGGGGAGGGGGGGAAAAATGACCCAAACATTGTATACACATATGAATAAAAGAAAAATTTAAAAAGTAAACAGTAATTCAGATCGATTCAGTTAGATATCTTTTCTCAAGATTTTGATTTTCCCTTCAATGGAATCAAAGGAGCTGACCATTGACAAGTACATAAAATGACTCAAGAATATGCTCCAAAGTCAAGGGTTGGTGGAGTGGCTGAGTCAGCAGGGCGCCTGCCTAGCAAGCATGAGTCCCTGAGTTCAAACCCCAACTGTCAAGAAAAATTAAAAAATCACAACACACTATGAAATTTTGTTGTGGCTCAGGTGGTAGAGTGCCTGCTTTGTATGCACAGAGCTTTGATTTCAAACTGCTGTTACATAAAAAAAGAAAAAAAACTTAAAAAAAATCAAACTATACTACAGAGCCATACCAATAAAAATAGCATGGTATTGGCACACAAACAGATATGAACACCAGAGCAGAATAGAGGATCTGGATATGAATCCATGCAGCCATACTTGCCTATTTTTTGACAAAGTTGCCAACAACATGCAATGAAGAAAAGACAGCCTCTTCAATAAATATTGCTGGGAAAACTGGATATCTGCCTGCAGAAAGCTGAAACTAGATCCATGTTCATTACTCTGTACAAGTCTCAACTCAAAGTGGATTAAGAACCTTAATATCAGACTTGAAACCTTAAAGCTAGTGCAGGAAAGAACAGGGAATATACTCGAAGCAGTAGACATAGCAATGACTTCCTCAGTAGGACTCAAGCAGCTAAGCAACTAAGAGAGGATGGACAAATGGGACTACATGAAATTAAAAAGCTTCTGCACAACAAAAGAAATGGTCCCAAAATTGAAGAGACCACCCACAGAGTGAGAGAAAATCTTTGCTAGCTATACATCAGACAAGGAACTGATAACCAGATATACAGGGGGCTCAAAAAAGTCACCCAAAAAATCAATGACCCAATAAAAAAACAGGCAGTTGAACTGAATAGAACTTTTTCAAAGGAAGAAGTCTAAATGGCTACAAAACACATGAGAAAAATGCTTACCATCCCTGGTCATAAAGAAAATGTAAATCCAAACCGCACTAAGATTCCACCTTATTCCTGTTAGAATAGCTACCATCAAAAATATGAACAACAACAAATGTTGTTTGGATGTGGGAAAAGGAAACCTCATACACTGTGGGAATGTAAGCTAATACAACCACTATGGAAAACAGTATGGAGGCCTCTTAAAAATAGATCTGCCATATGATCCAGCAATCCCACTCCTAGGGATATTGCCAAATGAATGTAAGTCAAGCTACTACAAAGAATGGATTAAGAAAATGTGGTGTTTATACACAATTGAATTTTACTAAGCCACAAAAAAGAATGAAATTTTGTCATTCACAGGTAAATGGATGGAACTGGAGAACATCATCTTAAGTGAAGTTAGTCAGGCTCAAAATGCCAAAAGCTGCATGTTCTCCCTCATATGTGGATTATAGACCTAAAACAAATGCAGCAATATTATGGGACACAGGTCACACTAAGGGGAGGCTGTGTATAGGAGGGATTGGACAAGGGAAGGCAACCAAAAACTTGGATGTGGTTGATATGCTCATGGTACAGGAATGAATATAGAAATAAAGAGTGCAAAGGACTGGTAGAGATGAACCAAGGAGGGTTGTAATACATATATGTATGGAAACAGAAAAAGGGATCTCCATATATAGCTAGCTTTATCTCAAAGTAGCATAAACACCATGAACTCTTTTTATCTTTATGTTTTTCTTCTACAAAATCAGAGAACAGGAGAGCAGAACAGAGTCTGCCCATGTTGGGGAGGGGAGGGTTGTCACAGATGGGAGGGAGGAGGTGGTGGGGAAAGGGGTAGGAGGATGAATATGGTGCAGATAATATGTACATATATATGTAAATTCAAGAATGATACCTGTTGAAACTGTTCCTTGAATCAGGGGAGAGAGAAGAAAGACAGAGCAGAGGGAGTAAATTCAAGTATGATATATTTGATACATTGTAAGAACCTTTGTATATGCTACAGTGTATACCCCCACCCAGCACAACAATAAAAAAAATGATTCCAAAGGCAAAGATCATTTGTGCAGTTGAATTTGAGACATTTAAGCTATTTTCTGAACATGTAGGTAATATTTTTGCATCATCAACTAAAAATATCTTAAAATGGTAGACTCTCTTTAACATTTTGTTATACATATATTTATATTAGTAGATTTACTTCAAAACAGATTTAAGTGAAATCTGGAATTCTAGCAGGGAAAAAATAGTGCAAAAAGGAAACATCCATTTTTTTCTGTCTTATAAATAAACAGGTATAGTGAAAGATAGTTTCCCTAGGCATTTGGTATAGTAGAAAGAAGATGGACTTACTCCATTTTACATTCTACTTAACCACTTTCCTCTTTGTGGTCTTGCACAAGAGCTCTTTGGAACCTCCACCTCACTGTCTCTAAGGATCTTAACTTCAGTCCTTCTGGGTTGGTATACTGATTGAAAATATATACTGTATTTTATGTTTATTATATTATGTATTATATCCCTCACTAAATGGTCATTATCACTATAATTATTATTATTATTTTGATGTTAATAATAGTAAAATGGGAAGGTATATTAGAAAGCTTATGGCCATTTAATAAGAATTATAGTAATCTCCCTTTTCTATGGGGGATACATTCTTCATTCTTACTGTAGATGTTAGCAATCTCAGTAGATAATTTTTTTTCCTTTCCTTAGTAATTTCAGAACTTCCACATTTTTTACTTTAAGGAAACACTTTATAGTTTTCCCTTGGTTGATCCAACTTTTCAGCATTATTATTATTATTATTACAATGCTGAACACAAGTTCCACAATACTGAGACAGTTGGTCTGATAACCAAGATAGCTAAAAGTCACTAACTGTACTGCCATACACAATGTGGCTATGCTGAGCAAAGGGATGATTTACATCTTAGGTGGCACAGACTGAGATGTTGGGGAACTTTATTTCAATACTCAGAATGGTGTGCAACTTAATACTTATATGAGTTTTTATTTCTAGAATTTCTATTTAATATTTTGTGCCATAGTTGACTTCAGGTAACTAATAAGGGAGGACTATTGTATAATTTATTCTCTCATTTTAATATAAAATGGATTTGATAACTTTGATAAGTTTAATCATTTTTCTTGAATCTAATTTTTTTTAATGCAAGTTCATGCCTCATGTTACAGTCCGATTATGGTATTACTTTATTCTCTAGGACCCTGTTTTATTTTCTGGAACCCTTCAAATGAACCTGGATCCCCTAGACAAATATTCTGACAGTGAGTTGTGGGAGGTGCTAGAACTGTGTCATTTAAAAGAATTTGTGCAGTCCCTTCCCAAGAAGCTGCTGCATGAGATTTCAGAAGGGGGTGAAAATCTCAGGTAAACTAGCCAAAGGTATTTATTCCAAGCTCTTTTGAAACTTGAATTGACCTCAAAGGGATTTAGCTCCTGCACCACCAGTGAGTTCTTTTTCTCTATTTAACACACATCATTCCTGATTACCTCTAGGGTGTGGGACAGGAATAGATTGGTACCATCAATCTCGGAAACCACTAGTGATGGAAGGAGAAGACAGTGAGATACGAAAAAGTCACTATTTAATTGAACAATCTTTTGTCAAGACTTCTTTTGTTATAGTCATCTCTGAAAAATGTGCTAAGTCACTACTGTTTCTTCATAGCTGTTTCTTCTTTTCTGTTATCTCAAGACAGGTCCCTTTGTGAGATCACTGACATAAGGAAAGTGAGTGGGAGCCCTGTAATGCTTGCAAATGACATCCACTTTGCCTTTGATTACCTTCCTGTCCCTCTCTCTGTTTCTGCCACATTGGCATGCTTCTTGTTTCATGAGTTTTTCAGATGAGATTCTGCTTGCTGTAGGAAATTTGTATTTGCTATTCTCCTTGCATTGAAAAATGTCCACCAAAAATCTGCTTGGCTCTCCCTCACCTCCTTCCCATTTTGGCCTACAGATGACTCTTCCATGAGAATTTCTTGCTGTGCTTATCTCCAATGTCTACTTCACACCCATATTTTATAATGCCCCCTTTATGCATGTTTGAATTCTTCTTAGCACATTTTATAAGCTGCAGTATATACACTTGAAGTATATTCATGCCCTTAACTGTTAAGCATTTTGTCAAACTTGTCATGCTTATTTTTTTTCTATGGGAATGTAAACTCTGCATAGAGATTTTTGTCCATTTTGTTCGTTGTTATATTCCCAGAACCCAGGCAAGGTCCAGGCACAGAGTAATCACTTAATAAAGATATTTTGAACAAAAAGAATAAATCAATTAATGTGTAACCTGGAAGAAGAATGAATAACAGTATTAGAATTTTAGAATAGGAGATGTGTAAAAATAAAGTTCATTGGTGAAAATATTTTACACTATGTTTTTGTCACCAGAGAAAGTGTTGAGGAGGATTCCCCAGTAAGAGAGAATGGGAAAGAAATCCTTGAGTTCCCAGTTTCCATCTTAATCACAGTAACTTGAATCCACTATGTAAAGCATTTCAAGGGGTTTCACAGAAAGGATGGAGACTCTCAAAGTAGAAGTTTAGGAAATATTTAGTATGTAAACAAGGACAAGAAAGGGTGAAAGGCATACCCCCAACACACAAGAGGTCGGAGAAAGAGGCTTAAAAAGGTGGTCTTCATCCTGGGTATGTTTATTCCTTCTAGACCAAGCTGGAAAATCCAATGCAAACTTGTCTTAGATAAATCATCATGTCATCTACTACCTTTATTCATTTTTCTAACTTCTTGTTTTGATGTTAACCTCCAAACATGAAAACAATGGGTTTTGGGGTAGCCTCACTATTACTCAAAGGTGGAGACAATGCATTTAGTGACATTTGCATCTGCTTCTTGTGGTCTTGAGCATTCCTTTTTGATCAAAGAATTCACTTACCAGGCACACCTTCTATTCTGGTGCTGTACTACCCATGTAAGGCAATTATAACTCAATATCCAAGGGAAAAGGGTGTGATAATTGTATACTTTCTTTTGCTGCACTGAAAGAAATATTTAGCAGTCAATTTCTTTCATTCAGGTGTGGCTTCTTGGTTTCACTTTAGAATTTAGAATGCTGGGCAAAAGGAGTGGAAACAAAATCATTTAATCAAGGACAAATCCCCATGTAGTAACCACTGTTTGAGATTGTATTCAAATATAAAATATTAAATATTTTAGTAATTTCTTTTAGTCTTAGTTTCTAACTCTGGCTTATTTTGAAAATGTTTTTGATTTCCTTGTAATCTTGTTCTATTTCTCCTGCCTCATTTTTACAGCGTTGGACAACGGCAACTTGTCTGTCTTGCTCGTGCTTTGCTTCGTAAAACAAAAATTCTCATCTTGGATGAGGCAACAGCGTCCATTGATTTTGAGACTGATAATTTGGTGCAGACCACAATCAGAAAGGAGTTTTCTGATTGCACCATCCTGACAATTGCTCACAGACTACATTCTATCATTGATTCAGACAGGTATGCTTCCTTTCTTCATAGAAATAAAACAATTTCTCCAAAGTAAAATAATGCTATTTACTTGTCAGAAATAAAGAGTTTTGCCTGTGTTCAGAAATGCATTGTTTTCCTTAATGGTATAGAAGATACTTTCAAAAATAGAAGAAATTTTTAAGGCTAAAAAAACACTAGAAAACCAGATTTATTTTCTGATTTAACTAATAGTACATATATTTTGTACTGAAATAACTCACATGGTAATCTAAATCTTACTTTGTAAGTCCAAAAGGTGTCATGTAAAATTTATTATAAGTTACTTAACTGTATTCTTTTCACATTGCAGGGTGCTTGTTCTAGACTCTGGAAAAATCGTAGAATTTGAGACTCCACAGAATTTGGTTCATCAGAAAGGACTTTTCTTTCAAATGACAGTGGAGGCTGGAATAACAGAAGACGGGAACAAAAAATAAATTATTTTAGTTGTATATTGAGTATACTGAATAAAACAGCTGCAGTGCATTAGCATTTAATGAATAACAGTGGGAGGGGATGCAGAAAGGCAAGCCCTTAACTATTGAGTTGGCAAACATAACAATAGACACCTTAGGTTCTAACCATCTTGGGCTGTACTCAGTCTTCTCACTTTTTTAATGGCTCAAAGTGTTAAATGTCACTGTTCTTTAAGTATCTCAGGAGTTACTTTCTCACTAAAGTGTCTCTTGTCTTCCCCCTCTGGTCTACATGCACCTTTTTTTTTCCTCTTATTTGCCCATTGAGCACAAATGGTAGGGACTATATTCAATTTTAATTCTTTAAGTTTGTCTCCCTTTGTAGAAAATGCTACTCAAAGGCAAGTGCTTGGTTTTAATCAACTTTAATCAACTTTATGATAGGTTCTAACATAGAGACTTTAATATTGTTGGTACTCAACAAAAGTTTGTAGGATGGTGAACATGCATTTCAGAGTACTATATGTGTGTGTTGAGCTACTGTACAGTTTAAGAAATGATGGAAGAATTAGAAAAATAAATGCTTGAGCTGCTTTTTGGAAAGACAGCATTTGTTTGGTTATTCTATATTAACTGAATTTTGTGATCTGCTTCATTTAAAAATTATGTTTAGTATTTTTATTATTTGAGTATAAAAGCAATATTTTTATGGAATATAAATTTTTGACTGGACCAATCTCAGTGATATATGTATCAGATGTTACACATTCATGGAAAGAATGTTGATTTGTAGTACTAATCATATTTTGAAGGAATTTTTCATCATTTCATGGTTTTTCATTTCATTACTATGAAATAAGAGGCAATATTTATATATCTGAAACACCCTTCAAATTTGAAGTGTACAAATGCCAATGGTATTTTCCTTTCAAGATGATTTAAATAAAATATTTTAACATGTTCTTTTAGGTTCATCAGCCATTTTTGTCTTCCCTTCTATGCAACCTCGAACATAAAACTTTGCTTCATTTTCTAAGGGTATTTATGAAAAACACTGACTTGAACTATAAAACCGTATATTATCTGAAGTCTCCTCCCACTATAATCCAGGCTACTTGAAATGTTCTTGTTTTAAAAGTCTTTGAAGTGCTTTATACACATTGAATAAATATTTTTTGAATCCATTAAGAAAGGGATCTACATGTGTCATAAATATCAATTAAAAGATGCTTTAGTTCTTGTTTTAGTCCATGTTGTGTCATTATAGTACAATAGCACAGACTGAGAAAGTATAATAAAAAGGAATTTATTTGGGCCACAGTTCAGAGGTTGGGAAATTCAGGACTGAGGGGTCATATCTTGTGTGGGCCTTCTTGCTGTATCTCCTTGTAGTAAAAGGCAAAAGGAAGAGAAAAGAGAATGAGAGAGAAAGAGTGAAAGAGAGAGAGAGGGAGAGGGAAAGAAGTAGGCTAAACTAATCTTTTTTTAAATCAGGAACCCACTCCTGAGATAATGACATTAATCTACTAGTGAGGCCAGGGTCTTCCATGCCCTCCCCAATCATCTTTTAAATATTCCATCCTTCAGCAATGTAGCATTTAGTTTCCTGTACATGACTTTGGGGGAATACATTCAAACCATGGTAGGTCTCTATTCCTCTAGTTTTAATAACTAGAGGGAGAGATAATAAGAGCTGAGGTGTACAAAATAGGCTTCTGGGATAACGGCTATCCTCTGTGTCTTACTGAGGTGAGTATTGGTTCAATTTGTGACAATTCATCAAGTTGCACGTTTAGGATCTGTGCAGTTTTCTGCATATGGGCATATACATACCATCCTTAAAATTATATATTACCATGTATAATACTTACAGAGTAAAAAGAAAGCAAATATAAAAATATTAAAAATAATGAATAGTCAAAACTACTCAAAGGTAATTTCATTATGTGTTGAGAAATTAACATGTTATTCTCATTTTGATTAAGCACATAAGTACTGCTCAATCGTGGAAGTACCAGGTACTGAAAATGACTGGGTGATCAAGAGGTAGCACATTTATATTTTAAACAAAAAGATTAGTTCATGATTGGTTTTGTTTAGCAATTGCAACTTCACAATAGAAAAAGAACATAATGACTATAATTTCAATATAGAAGATACTTATCTTGGCAGACAGATGAAAATCCTAAATAATATTAAATTGACTTCTTCAAAGACAATGAGAATGTTAACCAGGAAATGTGAAAGAATTTGGAACATTTGTCCCTTTTAATCCTCATTAAAGAATAATAACAAAAGAGTATCCACCTATTTTACCAAAAATACTAAGATTCCAAGAGGATATTGGTCAATAAGATTTAGAATCCAAGTCCATATAACTCCACTGATGATACTCTCCCCAGTTTCTACCAAGCTGTCTCATTGCTAGAAAAGCTACTTAGAAACTGAGAATGTAGTTCAAAAAGGATGGAGAGAAAATATAAAGCAATAACATTGTGGGTATAGTAAGTGAAATTAAGACTTGTGGTGAAGGTGCTATGCCTCTTTAAACCACACAAAATAGTGGCAATCCACATACTTCTGAATGCAGCTTTGATACTAAACAATATTAAGAGGATTAAATGTTTTATTTTAACATGTATACTAATAATAAATAGTTCTACCTAATCTAGAGGGCCTTTTTTTTTGAAAAAAGTAATCAAGAAAATTAGAATAAAAAACATTATAGTAATAGGTCAGGATCTTGAGACAGGGTATTTATGTTAAATTTTACTAAAGTTTTGTAAACTTGAACAAATTAATATCTCTGTGTTTATTTGGGAGTAATAATTATGCCCATTTTCTAAAGTTATTTGAAAAATTAAACCAGAGAATCCATAGAAAACATTCAATAACACAACAGCTACTATACAAATACCAATAATCATAATTTTTATAATTGTAGTGTCATATTTGCAAAATCACAGCACAGTACACACAGTTAAATAAATTAAAAGGGCAAGACTAAGCCAATGCTTATGGAAGTCTATTCTGTGCACCTAGATGTTGGGATAACTGGAGATTAAAATGAGATGCTGTCCTCGGGGATGCACAATTTGATCTCAGTGAGATCAAGCAAAAGTGAGGAGGATGCACGTAGGTGGGACAGCTCTTCTAGTTCCTTCTAGCTATCCTTTTTTAGTCCCACTTTTTTTCTGTATGTAATAACCCAGCGGTAATTCAAAACATGAAAAAGACTTAAACTCACTCTCTCTCTCAAGGGGTGCCACCATGATCACCCCCAAAACTGCAAAGGCAGTGATAAGATTTCATGGGTGGGATGGGGGAGTGTTCCATGGCTCACAGTGGCTGCCAAGGCCCCACGGGGATGAACAAGAAATCAAGGAAACCTCAGCACACAGGACACAGCTTCAAAGTCACGAGCACCTTGAAGTCTTCTTGATGGTGATGTGGTGTCCAAAGTACCTGCCTTGTCATCCGGGGAAAACCAGGCAGGGCGGGCTGAACAGGTCTGCTATCCCCTGGGGCTGAACTTCCTCAGCCTGTAGACTTGGATTCCTCCTCTCTGAGGCAACACTGAGGAAACACGATCACACTTTGACACAAGCACCAACTCCCTCTGCAGCTGCTCTAGCTAAGAGGACTGCTTGTAGGATACAAACAGTCAGGACTTTGCTGTGTTGTAAGCCACATTTCTCGAAATCTAATGACAAGGAAGACTGTGGTTGTTTCATGTGACTGCTATGAATTGGGTCAGTGGGACCAATATTGGCCCATTGACTATTTTTTTGTATATTTTGCCTAATTTTTTTAGTTGATACAGGCAGGAGGAAAAAATCAGTTCCTTAATCATTTCATTTTGATCAAAAGCAGAAGTCCAAGAAGGAGAACTTGATCAAATATTTAACCACATAATGGGGCTAACGGATATGAATCATGACATCTGATTGGCTTCCTTTGGATTACTAACTAGTTAACCAGTGCAGCTCAGTTGTTATTTGCAGACCTAGTTGGAACATAGATATCAGTGTTGCCTGAAAACAGTAAACTTTCATTTATTTCCTAAGTACAGCACAAAATAAAAGTGAATAGGCATACACATAAAATGTAAAATAGATCATGATTTTGAGGACATGAAAGTGGTGTGCGGTAGGAACTAGGCGTAGATATTACTATGACTTCAGTCATCACTAATTCCCTCTGAACATGACTTTGGACTTTCTACTCTGAGTGTTTGTACAATTTCCAGATAGTACAGAACATCTTACTGTGCAACCTGTATTGAATCATTTCCTTTTTTATTTCATTTTGACTAGAAGCAGAAATCCAAGAAAGTTCAACTTGACCAAATGTTTACCACATAGTGAAGGTCATAAGGTAGAAAGCAAGAGAAGAACAAAGAGCAAAGCATAAACAATGAAGGGACTATTGTTCTCAGGCAGGCAGAAGTCCCAAAGTAGCTAGGACAGAGTTAGTTAGGGGGCAGCTTCCTCTCTCAACCATCCAGGGCCTGTGTGTTGCTTGGCATCTGCAAACCTACTGCTTTATCTGCAGTTTTATGTCTGCATTCCAAGGAGGAAGTGAATGGAGAGAGGAGTATATATACAAACACATAAATTTTTTTTTAAAGACTGTTTTTTTCTCCAACTGATTTATGCTTTTACTTCACTGGTCAGAACGTCACACACAGCCACCTGTAACTGCAAGGGAAGCTAGAAAGTATAGTTTTTGAAGTAGGTGGACACTGCTGCTCCAAATAACTGGGTTCTGGAAGTAAGGATAAATAGGATATTGTAATAAGATTTAGCAGGGGCTGCCACAGCTATGCAAAGTATTTTTTTAACCATGTTGAATTGGGAGACAGAAGGGTAATGTTTACAGTTAATAGTTTAGATCCAATTTCCAGTTTTCAATGGGCCACATTAGATAATTTAAGGTGAATGAATGAACTCTTGACAGGAGAAATGTGAATATCAAATATACTTTTCATATATATATATATATATATATACACACATATATAAGTTACAAGGTTACAAATGTTATGCCATTGAAATGTTTTTGGTGGTCTTTTAAGTAAGCAAAATACTTTATTTAATAAGGCATATGTTGCATTTACATCCAAATAGTTTAATACTAGGTCAACTGAGAATCCTTCTTTTCAAAATTACATATTTTACCAAGGTAATCTTACTTTTGACAAACTCTCAGTAACTTGCAGAAACATAGACCATTGGACAGGCTCCTAAGAATATTAGGGAACAGAATCAGTTGTGGCATTTTTTATAATCCCACATCAAACTGGGAAGTCACTGCACTTTTTTATTTCCATTCATATATTTGTCATGTTCTTTGTGTCAGGTACTTTCAAAACTCCAAATAAGTACTGTTATCTCCATGTTGTATTTAAGAATATGCAAATTCTAAACCCACTTGTCTAAAATAATAGCGCTAGGTCTTAAATTTTAACATTGTCTAGAAAATCGGTAGTTTTCATGTATGCTGTCCAACAGTTCAGTAACAACAAAAACAGCTCTGTGGGAATGTATTATGTGATGAATAAGGCAGTATTGGGGTGGAGCACAGACTGGCTCTGCCACATTTTATTAGCTGCATAATTTTGAGAAATTTATCTAAAATATGTCTTAATTTCCCTATTTTAAATTGAGGATAATAGTGCTTTCTCATGTTTTCTTAGAGAACTAAACCAGTTAGCAGTAGTAAAACATTCAGAGCAGTGCTGTTATCTATGTACCAAGTTAATTTATAATTTAGTATTTTTAAAACAACAAAAATGAATGAACTCAGTTTTTGTGGGTCAGGAATCTAGAAGTCACTTAGCTGATAGACTGTTCTGGCTTAACGTCTCAAGTCTGCATTCAAGTTATCAGTTTCAGCTATGTCATCTACATCTTGGAGAAAGGGTTTATTTCAAGAAGCTGGACATTGATGCTGGCTGTCAATGGGGATGCCTCCGTATGGCCTCTGACCTCCCCAGAGCTTCTGTTCACCTGTATTCACCAGCACAACAGGCTAATCATTACTGGCACTTGGCTGCAAGAGTGAGCTGGCAAGTTAAAGGAGTGCACCTGAGACACAGCCAGTCTTTTTTAAACCTCGTTTTGGGAGTGACTTCTGCGATATATATTAACAATGAACAATGAGTCATTAAATCTTGACCAAATTCAAGGGAAAAGGATTACACAAGGAGACTGACAAATCCTTTGGCAGAGTATTTTAAGAAATCATAGGCTATAGTCATGGAAGAGATCAAGTGTATCACCTTTAAAGGCTCATTTTAAAAGACTACAGCAATCAAATTAATTTCTTAAAAAGACAACTATACTGATTTTTTAAAAATTAACACATACTATTAGAAAATTATGAAACAGCCATCAAACAAAGGATGGCTGCAGCCTGTTATATAGGAATATTACTATATAAATCAAGTTAGTTCTTTGGCTCCATTATAGTCAAGAGCCATCCAGAATTCCAAAGATACTGTTTGTATGATGCAGGAATTCTCTCTTTTAAGTTAGTGAAATATGTAGAAGTACATCGGAAATCCAGTAACAGCTGGGATGCAGGAGAATGTGCATTTGTGGAACTAGGCAGTAGCTACTGAGCTTGAGGGACATGAGCGTCTGATCAGTTCTATCCTCACTTTTATATTTATGCACATGAAAAATCTACTCTAACCAGGTCTTGAGTGAAAAATAAAGTACACAATTTAAAAAGCAAACTGCAAAATGGTATTTATTTACACTAAAATGTGAATTACTTGTATACACACAAATTTAAGAGGCACAATCTGTTTGCACAATAGCTGTAATATTCAGTACATAATATACACAGTAGTATCTGTTGATAAGATAATGGTGTGAGCGAAAACACAGTACCAAAACATTCCTGATACAAAATAAATTATTCATTCACATACTTTAATCATACAAGACACTTGGCATTTTTAGTTACATACTTCAAAAAACACTAGTCAGTGTACAACTAAAAGCTCGTTTTATGAAAAATGACTTCAGATGATTATTCATAAATTACTCCTTCTAGGATGTGTTCTTATCTTTTAAGTAAGTTACACAAATGTCAAGATAATGCATATTTAACTCCCTAAAATATGACTGAAGACAGAAATTCCTTCATTTCTTAAAGGTGTAACTATACTAAATATGCTAAACTGATGCCCTAAATTTCCAACACTGCCTTTCTAGTTTTGACAGAAATTATTTAAATTATAATTTTATTATAAGAGTAGCTGCCCTGTTTTGCAAATTACTTCCTTTAAAAAGTGTTAACTGGTTAACAAGATTGTCTTGAACCATATCAATATTTTGAGAAATTCAGTCTTCTTGTTTTTAAATCCTAAAATGCTTTAGGTTAAAGCTCATACTGGAGATTTTGGGATAAATTGAACACTTTTCTCTCAAAGATCTTCACAATCAATTCTAAAATCTATTAAAGATTTATACAAAGTCCAACAGAATGCTCGAATATTTTCATAATGCAGTGGAGGAGACATCTTTGGCATTTCTCCATTAGTTCTAAAATAAAACATTTCTGCATTTTTCTATCCATCTACTACAGACATTTTATGTACACAAAAGTATTTGATTGAAATCTATGTTTTAACAGCAATTTCACTGGTGAGCAACATTTTTCTTTTAAGATCTGCAAAAAACAATAACATTCATTCAGTATTATACTATGGGAGGCTGAACGTCTTGATGTGTTGAAATAAATTTGCTTAGCTTTCTTTGTCTGTGATTGGAAATTTAACATCCATTCAAATTCATACTGGATAAAGCAGATATACTTTAACAAAAATGTTGATCATCTTACAATGTTTGAATATTTTCATGAAGCATGTCTCTATGAAGGAAAAAATATACATATCTTCAAATAATATGGCATCATAGAAATTGAACTATCTTATTTTCTTTCTTGGTCCTTGTGACTTTTCTTAAAGAAACAAAACAGGAAGCAAAACAGACACGCAATTGCGGCAAATGCTGATCTGTGGGAACCTTTTCCACATTGTCAGTTCCACATTAGATTTATTTCCAGTATTCCCAAATATGTGATCTCATCACGTTAACCTTATGGCTGAAAATAGTCCAAGTTTACCTTTTTAAAAAAAGTAATACAAAGTAATACTTTTACAGTTGAACACATTTTCTTCATCCAAAACTAAGTATGAAGAAATATCTCAGGAAAGCTCAATCAAATAACATTTGGTAACTCAAATGCATGCTATATTCTCTAGGGTTTACTGACATAAATGAAGAAATGAAAACATAAAACATACACAGTAGGTGATTAATGCTGCAAAGGTCTTGAATAATAAAAATGAAATAGTGAAGGTTTTATTGTGGTTTTTAAATTACATTTAAAAATGTAATTAATATTTTCCTGTTTCCTAATGAGGCATAATCGTGGAAATCCAAGCGGGGAATGATGCATAGGCAATGAAGGAGCTATAATATAAATCTGGATATTTCTGCCACCTGGCATAGAAAAACTTGAATGACTCTATAGCTATTTTAGAGAAAAAAACTTGTGTATTAAAATAATCTGGAGAATGTAGATTAAAAGAGTATGACACATTTGTGAAAGTAAATGTTATATGGCAGTTATTAAATATTATATATGCAGTTTAAAAATACTGCTATCTCCCAGCCAATGTTAATACCTGACATCAACACTGTCCTTCAAGTATACATCAAATTAATAATAACATGTGATAACCAAGTAAAGAAATTACCAGCTCCTACTAATATAATTCAGTAAGAACTGGGAATCTTATAATTGGCACTATCTAATGTTTAGAGAACATAATGCTAAGTGCATATGGTTACCTACTTCCAGAATCTAGAAAATACAGCCACTTATGCTCCTCAGGTCAGTTTTACTTCAATTCTGTCATTTTAGAAGTACTTGTTGGAATGAAATTTCTCCAAAATCAAACAGGATCTATCTGATCACAGCCAATTGTAAATCAAAACACTATGAAAAATTTCCTCTATGGAAATTTTGCCTTTTACTTCAATTTGTGAGACACTTAAGGTAGAAACTTTCTTTTTTGGCAGAGGTGATCTGACAACAGAGAAAAGATCATCAGACAAGATCAAAATTCTAAACAAATTATCATCATGACTTCAGAATTTAGTTGAAGTTGGTTTTTTGTAAATGCTTATTGGGAATTTCTAAAGCACTGACTTGAAGAGGCCAAGAGCCTCCATCGATCCCTGCTTGGATAGCCACTCCTGTCACCACAGCCAGGTCAGGGTCTACAGATGTGTTGGGATCCTTTCCAAAGAACTCTTGTATGACCTGGCGGATTCGAGGAATACGAGTAGAACCCCCGACCAAAACCACCTCATCAATCTCTGTCTTGTCTAGGTGGCCTTCTTTTAATACTTGCTGAATGGGCACAAGGATTTTCTGAAAGAGATCTTCATTAAGGGCATCAAAGAGCTTCCGTGGTATTTCCATTTCAAATAAAATCTGATTTTTTCCACTTTTCTTTTCAGAAAGGCCAGGTCTGAGCACCCTGTTCTCATGGTGACCATCGGCTGGCATATGCAGGTCCTTTGGCAGTTCAGGGTCTCCAGTCTGAGGGTCCTTCCTGTCCTTTTCCTCTACTGTTAATAGCACTGATATCTGGGCAGACTGATGAAGAGTCAGATTTAATTTGACCATTTCCACAGCTTGTCTCAACCTGTGGACTTCTTCTTTCCTAAAGGGGAAGAAGCCGTGTGTTTGGTAGATCTGTCTGTATAAGTACTGCAGCAGCCTCTGATTGAAGTCCTGTCCCCCAAGTTTATTGTTTCCTAAACAAACAGTTAAAACACTTGTGTTACATTCATGTACACATGTTTCTTTATGTGTACATGTCTACGTGTAGTTTAAGAATAATTCCTTGTTTAATATATTAAGATTTTATTCATATAAGACTGATTAAAAAGAACTTGGTTAAAATGACTTTACCCCAAATTTATATTACTAAAAACAATGTATAACAGAACTGGACACCATGGCTCATGCCTGTAATACCAGCTACTTGGGAGGCAGAGATAGGAGAATCAAGGTTTGAGGCCAGCCCAGGTAAAAAAAGTGAGCTCCTCTCTCAAAAAGCAGGATGGGCATGGTCATGCATGACTGTAATTCCAGCAACACAGGAGAGACAGGTAAGAAGATCAAGGTCTGAGGCCAGTCTGGGAATTTTTCTCTCTGGAAATGTCAAAATGGAGGCAAGGTTCAAATAGTAGAACTCATCCCTGAATTCAAAAGCCTAGTACTACCAAAAATAAAAGCAAAACAAAACAAAGGAAAAATTCACAAAAAGCAGTATACATCAAGGTTAAAATTTTTAAATGATGTGAAAGGAACTATCAAGAAGATCAAATAATACTTCAGAACACAAAGACTGAAAAAACGTATTTTTAAGTAACTACCTAAAAACACTGACTGTCAGTATTCTCAACAGAAGAAAAGTGTTCTTAATAATTACAGAGTACTATTCCATATTTTATCTTATTTAAATCATAATAGCTAAAAAGTAGAAAACAATGATTTCTATGGAAAATAATAATGTAATATAAATATCCAGCATTATCTTGTCTCAGAAGAGTCTGGTTAAGAGAAAGAAAAATGCAGATGTTGGAACAACTACAATATATAGCTTAATGTTCCAAACAGGCTTAATTCCTTAACCTAAATTGAAGAAATCAAAAATCTTAAAAAATAAAAAAAAAATTTTAAATGAAAAGCCCAGCTATTTATTAGGTAACAATAAAACTGGATTTTCTTAATGCATCTATTTTGTAAAACATGAGCAAACGAAATAATCTGATGACTCTTTATCTTAAAGAAATTTTTCTTCCCTCATGCTTCCTTCACCAACACCTGGAAAGTCATGTTGTACAGTGGACTATAACTAGCACTTTACTTATCTGACTTACAGAATGCCAACTCATATTTCTGATGTAACTTCTTTCTGTAAATATGCATAAACAGTGATCTAAATAACATATACAGAAACTACAGAATGAAGTCTAATATTCTGAAAGAGTAAACATGCTACATGTGAGGTATGTTGAGGAAAGTGTTGCTTAGATCTCTTTAATTCTCTCTGTATTTCTCTTACCAGACATAGCACGGGTTAGAAACATGCCCCCTTGTTTATTCAGTAATGACACGTCCAGAGTTCCTCCGCCCAAGTCTATAACCAAGACATGGAAGACGTCAGCCTTGTGGAGACCATATGCCATGGCTGCTGCTGTTGGTTCATTTATTACCCTCAAGATCTTCAGTCCTGTTCATTGCAGGGAAGAACAACTCATGAGAGAAAATTCCCTCAACTTCACAGTATGTTTATTTATTTTGTGACATGAGTGTCACTGAGTAAAAACAAGCAGCAGTCACAAACTCCATAGAAGCACAAAGGGAATGATAAATATAAGGTATTCTAAATAGTGTCATTAAAATTACTCAAGATTACAATATAAGAAATAAAATCCCAAGTTTAGTGAAATGAGTATCTCTATGGCTTATAAATTAATTTTTAATTTTCAAAAACATCTTTCTGCCTTTCCTAGTATTCATATTCTACTTGGGAATATATATCATTATATACTATAACTAATAGCTGTGGAAATGAGATAATCTTAGTTTGTATAGAAAGATCAGTTTTCCTTGAAGAAAGTTTCTGCTTTAAATGAGCTTTCACACATAAAGAGCAGTCTGCAAAGTAATAAGGTATTATACTTCAGGAGCCAAACAAAGAGTTATCCAACCCAAAATGTCAATGATGCTAAGGTTAACACTCCCCATAGTAAACATACATTTTAAGTGTTTCCCTCCAGCTGAATATAAGCTTCATGAGAAAAAGACTTATATGTTTTGTCTCAGCAAATAAAATGATAGAGAAATTCTTTCTCACCTCATATTTTCTGAAAACATTATATTTACTTTAACATTGAAGAAAATTTGGAAGAAAAAAAATTCCTCACTACATGTCCACATTCTCTCTCAGCCTTTGTCATATGCCTATCTGGTCCTTGTTCTAATATAAACATTTTATATTGTGCTACAGAGCCTTTATACTTATAGGTTAGAATCCATCCAATTTACCTACCATATAGTTTTTTTATGTACCTTCAGTTAAGTGATTTGCAAAGTAGATACTCTTGTTACAGAATATTTTTAACCTAAAACAAAATGTTAAAGAAACATTCAGCTTAATCAAGGGTGCTGTTACCTGCAAGATTGGCAGCTTCAACTGTTGAATTTCTCTGTTTTAGGTCAAATTCTGCTGGTACAGAAATGACAGCATTGGCAACTGGCATTCCCAGATATTCCTCTGCCATTTCCTTTAATTTCAACAGTAGTCGAGAGCCAACATACTCTGGGGAAACCGTGATGGTTTCATTACTTGTCACAGAAAATTCAGCCATTCCATTTTTGTGTAAAACCTATGAATAGAATTTAAAAATAAATATATATATCCATCCATATATATATATACTTACACATACTTACATATTTGATTAATTCAAGGAAAACTTACCTGTACCTTTACAAAGTCAAAAAGTTCACTATAATCTATGCCAAGATGAGAACTTATTAAATGTTATACTTTAAAAACTAAATACACACTACAGCTTTCAATAACAGTATAATAAAATTCATCATCATAGAACATAGACTATTCTCACTATTTATTTAATGAAAGAATGAATAATGAAGTTCAGGAGATTCCCTTTATCAAAGGGGGCTATGTTCCAAGGTCCTTAGTCGATTCCTTTTCAGTTAGGGGAAACTTTTTATGGCTTCTCTTTGGCATATCCAAACTGCCAGAATTACTATTATTGTGCTATAGAGCTATTAAAAAAGTAAAATAAAAGGTTACTTGAACACAAGCACTAGGATACCTTATGAGTCAATCTGATAATAAAAATGGTTACTAAGTGACTAATGGGCAGGTAGCACACACAATGGACAAAGGGATGATACATGTTCTGGGTGAGACTAAAAATGTTGCTGCAGGATTTCATCATGCTACCCAGAATGGTATGCAACTAAAAATGTACAAATTCTTTAATTCTGGAATAATATTCTTCACTTCTGTAATTAATGTTTTTAGACAATGGTTGAATGTGGGTAACTGAAACCGTGGGAAGTATAAAAGCAGAAAGCAAAATCATAGATAACGTGTGACTAATACACAAAGAATAACAATTTTCAGTCATACATTTAACTCAGAATATTCCTTTTCTCTTTTTTCCCTCATATTTCTGAAAGTATAGATATGAGGAAGAATTTTCTAGTACATAATAAAAAGAATAATTTTAGTAATTATGTGCTAATCCAAGAATCAAATATCATTTACATTTAATTTTCATGAAAATATATATTGTACATTATAGTTCAGTATCCCTGTTAATGTGGGTGTATATTTAAAAAACTAAATCAACTCTAAAACATAGTATCCTAGCTTTAACAAAAGACTATATTAAAAGCAATAATAAAGAGAATCAATCTGTTCTAAGAAATTGTAAGAATTTACCCCTAGCTATTCTGGGCTTCATAATTAGGTTTCAAATCTGACCTTCTAAAAGAATTTTACTAGTCTGGGGGAAACAAAAACAAGCTATACAGAGACGTAATATAAGGTACAATGCTACCAGTACCATTAGAGTCCCTCTGAAGCAGAATAAAAACTCAAGTTACTTACAAACTTAAAAACAGTAACTTAAAATAACTCTCATATCAATAAGTAATGTCCTCAACACTATACAGAAAATGTATAGCTTTCCTTTATCATTACATAAATTAATTCCAATCCCAAGAGAGAAAATTAAAAATGAGCCAAATAATAAACCTAGAAGTACAGGGAGTGAATTTTTTCTTTGAAAATGTATTAAAAATTTGAGAACTTTTACAGATGAGATCACTCAACCAGTAGCACAGTTATCTAATGACTTTAAAACTAATTCATCTAGAATTCTGCTTCATAACTTAAAAGAAAAATGCTATATGGAAAAACGATTTAAATGTTAAAAAGATAAAAGAACCCAGCCTGCAGCAAATATATAAAAGTACTATGAAAAAGCCTACATCATGAAAAGTACTATGGGAAAAAAAAAAAAGGTCACAATAAACATGATAAGAGTCAAAGCCAATGCTTACAAAATTCAATTGTTGATATGATCTCACCCAAGGCAGTAAAGGAAAAAAAAAAAAGGGTATTTTATTGTCATTAAGGAAAAGAGAAGCATGACAAAAGAAAACAGAGCAAACAAAAAGAAATGGATTACTAAAGGAAATAAAAATATAAACAACAATTTTCTAAGCAATATCATCTCACTAGAAATGAAACATTTTGGGGGGGTTGCATTTGGGATTAAACTCAAGACCTTGCACTTGCAAAAAAGTGCTCACCATGTGAGCCATGCCCATATCCTCCATCTTTTAGTTTGTTTTTCAGATATCCTGCTTTTGCCTGGGGCAGCTTTTGACTATGGTCCTTCTACCTCTGCCACCCAAGAAGTTGGGATTATAGCCACCATGGTTGGCTTAGAAATGAAACTTAATGAAAGATACCATTTTTTACTTATTGATTGCCAAATACTATCATACAATAAAAACCAGTGAAGATACAGGCACTGTACAAATAGTGGTCAAGAGCACATAACATTTCTGGTGCACAATCTGCCCAAACAGATAAAAACCTCAAAACATTTACAGATTCAACCTATCAATTCTACTTCTAGAATTGAAGTCACAAAATTTTCATAGGCATACAAAGAGATGTATACAAAAATATTCACAGAACCTCCAAAATTAGAGGGATAGCAGAAAATAAGAAAATTTATACTGATAGAGACTGATAAGTTAAATATGGGAAGTCATGGTTGTGTATAACCATTAAAGATACAGAGGTGAACTTATAATTGCTTTGCATATTGTTGAGTTTCAAGTAAGTTAGGAAAAAAATGTGTGTAGTATACAAATTTCCTTATATGTATACAAACATTTTCACACACACACACGGAGAATATTTATCTATAGTACATGGAACTGCAAGTCTTCCTGCTACCTTAGTAGAACTAAGTACAGGATAGCAAAACAGGTATATAGTAAGGCCCTAAGTCCTTCATCATACTGAGAAGTCAATGAATTAACTCACCATGGGGCTGCTGTGGAATTTCTTGTCAAGTGAGATAACATAACTTTCAGAGATTTAGTTGAGATACAATGGTTTGTAATGCAACACCAAAGCATTAATTGAAACAGTACAAGATGCTAACATTAAAATAGATTTTAGGTTAGTCTTACCTTAAATGGGTATCTGCCAATTTCAGCCTCCAGCTCTTCTGGAGTGAAAATCTTACCTATGAATCTTTTGGCATCATATATTGTATTTTGAGGGTTGGAATCTGCCAGCTCTAAGCTTTCATATCCTACATATACATCATTGTCAGTAAAGGATACCATACTGGGTATGCTGATATGCCCATTTTCATCTGGAATCACCTTTACTTTTCCTGTGCCAGGAAAAAACACCCCAACGGAACAATAGGTGGTACCCAGGTCAATGCCAATCACTTTTGGAGTAGGCAATGGCAAATACTGTTGTGCTAAATAGCCAGCCAACAGGAGAGTCAAAACAGCTGATCCTGAAAATAGGCAAATTAAAAGGTGCATCTTAGCAAATTACTATAATATGAGAAAGTACGACAGCAGTCTCTTCAATACCACTTTTTTAAAAAAAGGTTAAAAATATAAATCTTAAAATATTTTATTTCATTGAACTAATAACAATATTTATTTCAAACGTTAAGTTTTTCACAATGTAAATTGGCTATAATTACAAATAAAGAAATGACAAAACAGATAACTTCTGTAATTGTGTGTCTGCTTAGTTTCCTAATAGGAGACTATAGGAATAAAATGTAAAAACATTTTGGTGAAAGCTGTGCTGATCCTGATAGGAAACATCACTTGAAGCAAAAAAAAAAACAGTATAGTTTGCTTTATAAACAATTTTATTATCATTACTAAAATGAAATTCCATTATTGAAATTTTCAGAGGAAAACATCATTGCAAGCCTAAAACTCTTTATCTAAATATCAACTTTTCCCTTTTAAAAGGATTAAATGGATAGCTTGGATCCAATGATTTTGAAAGTTGCTGAGGTAAGCCTTCACTTCAAAACACAACAGTTAACTATGTATTTAAATATGAATTAAGGAAATACATAAAGATATAATATTGAGGTAAAAAGTATAAAAGTGATGGCAACATACATGCAAGCCCCTGAAGGCAAGTTTTGATCACTCTTGCATCCCCTACAACAGCTATATCAATGCTCAGTAAATCTCAGTTAAAGAAAAAACAAGCGATTATGAACAAACGCCATGCATATTGTAAATATAAGTAAAGAAAGACAGCACTCCGTATTTAGAATTAATCTCTGATTTGGTTTGAGAAGGCTGTGTTATATACACCCGTGTCCACTCATACTCATGTTACATACAACCCAAACGTCAATCTATAGGACTGTGTTACTAATTGTTAGCTCATCTGTGTCAACGCCTAAATCAAGGGAATCAAATGCTGATCCCACTTTTCTCTTCCACCTGCAGGAAAATCTCTGAAGCATTTCCTAACCTTTTCTTAGTTAGAAGGTACTTCCTTAACCGGATTTGGTGCAAAGAGCATCGAGTTATGATCAGAAGCCTGAATCTCTCCAAACTTAGCATCCCAGATTCAGCATCCCAAGTCTACAGCTCCGGATGCAGCTGCAGTTCCTCCCCCGTCCTCCACAAAGGGGTCCTGGAGGTGCATGTTCTTGCAGCCTCCCAAAGGCCCCAAATCAGCCAGCATTTCAAAACCGAGGTTCTGTTGGAAAGAACACATCTCTAAGCCCGAGGTCCCAGAGAGAAAGGCATCTGGTCGCAGCCGGCCCTAACAAGGCCTCACAGGGGCTAGATGCGCCCCAACACCAAACGCTCAGAGCAGCCCAAACCCGCCTCTAAGTCACCTGTCCGGCTTCTCTCCTGCCGCGCCACCTAGATCCACGGGGCGACACAACCACCCTGCCCACCCTGGCCTCCTCCGGCGGCCCCGACGACTGACAAGTCAACAGGGAACCCAGGCGCACTGACCTAAGATCGTCATCTCTCTGGCCATTACAATCCCGCCGAAGAGGCTTGGGATGACTGTACCAGATGTGACGCTCCGCCCCTACGCCACCGGGTGCCCCCGCTGCCTCTTGGGAAACGTAGTCCTCTGTCTCTGACGTTAGCGGAGAAGCCACCACTCCTACCACAGCAAGGACTTCAACTACCTTGAGGCCGCGGGGCCAAGATTCCCCCATTCAACCGCTGCCAGTAACGTGGGAGTCGCCCTGCCACTCACGAAATACCGAGCCAATCAGGTTGAGGTGAAGGGCGACGGACTGTAGAACGTATTCAAACTGAAACGTCGTGAGCCAACTTGAGGTACAGGCTCTTTAGCCCCGCCCACAGCTTTGTATTCTGGGAAGTGTAGTTCAGACCTGTGCAATTCAATGGGCAGTTCTTACTAGTAACAACCAGAAAGGAGAGAGAAGATAAACACATAAATGCAATTTAGCGTGGCATATGCCATAATCACAGTGTGGATAGATAAAACGAAACAGAATTGGAGAGATTTTGAATAATTTTATGTTGAAGAGCAGAGCAACTGAAGGGAATGTGTCTGAGAAGTATTTTGAGGAGTAAGAGGGTCAGAACATAGGTCAATGGAGTAATATGAAGCAGTGGGCGAGAAGTAATTCAGGTAGAGGGAACTGAAATACCAACAACACAAAAGAGGAAGACCATCCTGTGGATTAGAAACTACAGAGTTATAAAGCATGGGTTAGAAGTCTGAGAGATAGAACCAGACGTAAGGCACATCAGGAGGATTAATCATTCTCCCTTTAACTAACACAATCTCCATGTGTTCAAGATGTAGCAAGAGATTACGTGTTCTCATTGGAGGAGGCCCTTTTCCACAGAGAAAAATTGAGAGCGACATAAATAGGTTAAATTCATTTTCTATTGCTTCCTTAACAAATTACGACAAATTTAGGGTTTTATTCTAAACCAACTTTATTGTTACAATTCAGTAGATTAGAAATTTGGTTGTCAGCAGGGCTGTTCATCACTGGGGATTCTAGGGTTGAATCTGTTTCTTATTCATTCAAGTTGTAGGTAAAATTCATTTCCTGTGGTTGAAGGTTCAAGGCCTCCATATTCTTTATGGTTGTAAATTGAGGGTTGTTCCTAGCTTATAAAAAAGTCCTATATTCCTTAGTTCTGGGACCCCCTTGCTCAGTTTTCAAAGTTAATAACAGTGGGTCAAGTCCTTTTCAGAGGGCATGTTTTTGTATCTCTCTCTCTTCCAAATCTTTGAGATCTGAACTGAAGATGTGGTCGAAGTGCTAAGAGTGCCTGCTTTGCAAGCATAAAGCCCTGAGTTCAAACCCCAGGCCACCAAACACATGTACACACATATGTTAGAAGTCATGTGATTAGTTGAACCCACCTGAACAACCCATTAAAGATTGCCATCTCAAGCTTTTTAATCTCGTTATATCTGCAGAGTCCCTTTTGCTAAGTAAAGTAACACTGTCGTAAAGTCCAGGAATTAGAATGTGAAATTCCTTGGGAGGCTCTTATTCTGACTACCACAGTTTGTTGTACAGTCTCCCCAGATTCACCTCTATCCACATGCAAATTAACATTATCCCCAAATCTCATACATTGCAGCACCAACTAAGAGTCCAAAAAGTTCTGCTAACCTTTATCAGTACAAAAGTTCCAAGTTTAGCCATCAAATAAATTGTATAGTATTTATCCTTTTTTTGCTTATAAACAAGAACAATGAACTGTGTATGTTAGAATGTTAGTGAGAATATTTCAGTTTGTTTTTCAGAATTTTAGTAATGTTGTAAAGAACAGAGAACTCAGGGCACTGGGTTGGGACATACAGAAGAAGATAGGAACACAGAAGTAAATATAGATTACTTATTTCTTCCTCTTTCTGAGCAAGGAACTAATAGATATCTAGAATGGAGAATTTAAAAACTAAAATCTTAGGAAGATTATTCAAGATTAAAAAGGCAACTTTGTAAATGACTAAAAAATAAGAAAATGTACAGAAAAGGGAATAGGTTATAAAGAAGAGACAAAAACAAAAATATGTATTTTTTCTAGTTTTCCATGGAAGTATGTTAATGTGTATCATTTAAAGTTAAATTTTTTAAAAATTCATATTGTTGGAATTAATAACCCTCTGGTGCCAAAAACAGACACACAGAGACAGAAAATCTTGACAAGGCAATTTCTCTTGATCAAGAGGGTGCAAGTATGTGTTCACTCCAGCTAAGCAAACAGGCAATCACAAATTGGCTGACAGTGGCTCCTCTATATCCCTGACCAGTTGTACTTGCTCTTTACCTGGGATATGTCCAGGTCAAATGTTCACAGTCTCCCTCGATTGGCTAAATGGATTGCGGAATGGGTTAGGGGATATAGTTTGGTGGGCAATGGAGTTGTACGGGACTCCGGAAGAAAAAGCAAGGACCCTTTAAACATGCAAGTCACCTAAGATGGCAACCCAAGGAATTTTTAAGTAATCTAAGAGGATAACAAATACTTTGATAGAAAAGATCATTTTTCTTATTATATGACAAGTATATCAACAAAGAAAGCAATGGAAACAAAAAGTAGATGACATAATTAGAATCAATTTCTGATATGCATAATTATACATAGACTAAAAACTACTAGATTGTCCTTTTAAAATCATTTCTGAATATAGAAAAAATGAAAAAATTAAAGGCATATGAGCATATAGCTATTTCATTATATAGTAAAAAAAAATTATCTTAAGTAACAGACCAGCACCAGACAGAAACATTACCAGTAAAATTGGGAATAAGATAAGACTGCTCACTTACAGCTATCATATAATACTGCTCTGGAATTAATAGCCAGTGCAAGGGAACAATGGAAAATGTAAATTTAAGGAGAACTAAAGTGGTAATTTTATTAGGATTTTATAAACATGAATGTATACATAAAAGATGAACAAGGAATATTTAAATATCAATAAGAATTGAGTGGAAGCTTCTTCAAAAATATTGTACAAAAATAGCATTTCTGTTACAAAATGACAAACAACTGCAAAAACTATAACAGGAGCTATGCCACTTATAGTAGCAAATGAAAGATGAAATCTATAGAAGCAAATTTAAAAGTAAAAGAAGAAGCTTTCAAAACATTCTAAGGCTATAACAACACATTTAAGTCAATGAAAAGACAATACATTCTTTGGTAGGAAAACTCAATAAATTTATTGTAGAAAAAGTTACACATACACACATATATATATACATATGTGTATGTATTTGTATATGTGTACATGTATGTGTGTGTAGAGAGAAGTAATTACTATGTACTTACCCAATTTTATGTCTCTCTCCACCCATTTATCATTTCATATTACATGGAAGCAAACAGAAAATGTATTATTTTATCCTTAAATATTTCAGTAGCGTTCACTAAAAGATAATGATTTTTAACAACAGATGCATGAATCCAGATATTAAAAGCTATTCTCTGCTCATAAAAATTGTCAGTGTTCAAGTTTCTAAATGCTTCAAAAACATGTTATTGTTGTGCAGTTTGATTCCTTGAATTAGCATCAAAATAAATTCTAAACATAGCAGTTTTCACAACCTGGATTTGCTAATCTGTAGTATAGTTTGAAAATTTATCATACAAAATGGAGTCATGCCTTGCACACCCCAGAAAACCGCTCCAAGAACCATCTTACAGAACCAATCCAATGAAACATCCAGCCCAATTTTAATACTGTAGAACAGCCAGCTATGACCTTAAGTATAATCTTAAATAGTGACTACTCTTTTGCCAATCAAGAGTTGCCAGTTCCCTTAAGCATGGAGAGGGCTAATGAACCTTTTTATAGAATTATTTGCATAGATTTCTCTGTCCTAATAAAGCCCTCTGCCTTTCCTTTGTTTTCTGGATGTATAATAGGCCATCTAGCTTATGCAAGTGGTCCTGGATTTCAGTCCTTTATTACAGTACTATTCTTTTCTCTATAATTCTATTCTTTATTCACAAATAAAACTTCTTTATTAGAGATTCATCTCTACATTTTTGTTTTGACTCTGACTTGTTTGTTTCTTTTGTGTATTTACCATAGATTGTTAGTTGGAGATGAATGTTTTGTCTAATTAGGCTTTTTTTTTTGTTACGTATTTTTGTGTTAGGAGGCTAAAAGATAAGTTGAATTCCTAACACCAAGTACTTCAGAATATGACCTGATTAGGGAAACAGAGTGGTCTCTCTTAATCCAATATTACTGGTATTGCTTCAAGAATACTTCCATGAAAAGACATAGAAACATGAGGAAAACGCAGGCAGAAATTGGAATTAAGTCACTGTAAGGCAAAGATGGCCAAAAATTGCCAACAAACCAGCAGAAGCTAGGAAAAGTCAAAGAACAATTCTACAGGTTTCAGAAGAACCATGGCCCAATTGACACATTGAGACTTCCAGTCTCCATAGATATGAGAGACCATGAATTTCTGTTGCTTTAAGTCATTCTGTTTGAAATGCTTTGCTTTAGCAGCCACAGAAAACTCTGATAACCAGTGCTAGTCTGTTTCTGGAGTATCTTTTGAAAGATTGATATTGAAATATAAGTACCTAAATTTCCAATTATAGCCATGATGAGAATAAATGGACTTTCCCTTTCTTCACAAAGAGATGGAAAAGAGGACAAAAATGGAACAATAATTTCAGACCTTGGAAAATAAGCAGAGAAAGATTATGATCCCTTAAGAAAGGGAAAGAGATGAGGTAAATTCTACAGTAATCCTGAATTTCTATTCAGAGACACATTCAAGTCCTCACTGGAGAGAAGGAAATCCCAAGGAAAGCACAATGGCCTTGCTGAGTTGAGCAGATACCACAGTTCAGGGAAAAGCTCTGGAAAAGTGAGAGCAATAAAGAACACCTGAAGTAGTCAGAGTGTCTGGGTACTTTTACAACACATTACACAC